GTAGAGATGGCGCGCCTCCACGTGCGAGAACCTCAGATCTGCAAAGCGCACACGCATGTGTCATCTACCATCACTCCACAGCGGGTGTGATCCACGACATTTAACTTTTTGGCTTCCACTTGTCAGCGTCCGTCGGACCCTGCTCTGCAGGTACTGAGTAGACTTCGGGGCGACGAAGCACTACTCCCCGTGCGCTTGTTGTTTTAGACCCGTTCCACGATAACCCAATAACAAGCTTCCACTACCCCCCTGCATGAAAATACAAAGAAGTACTAAGATTGTGCGTGTGGCCTAAGTTAAGATATAGATGTTAGTAACCCCCTTATAACCTCCCTGTAACCCCCTTACATCTTTGCCATCCATGTAGTAAGTCCCTACTAACTTGGGGGAAGTTAGTAGAAGGTTGGTTGGAAGAAATAGAAGTTATTAACTTAAGTTAACTTTTTAGCTAACTTTTTCTAACTTATGTTAACTTATGTTAACTTATTCTAACTTTTTTGTTTTATGTCGGTTTTGTGTTAAATGGTTTTCGTTGTTTGTCACTGATGCTGTTCTTTTCTGTGCTCCACAAAGATAAGAGCAGATGCTATGGGCTTAGGGGGTTCAGGTGTTTAGGACCGCCACCACCACCAGCACCAGCACCAGCACCAGCACCAGCACCAGCATCAGCACCACCACCAGGGTTATAGGGTTTAGGGCCGGTGTGGAGTGTAGAAACACTATCACCACAGCCTTCACCAACACCAAGACCACCACCGCCGCCACCACCACCACAACAACAGCAGCAACAACAGCAACCACCACGACAACAACAGTACCAGCACCACCAGCACCAGCACCACCACCAACAGCAACAACACATGTCTAGGATGTTAGGAACACCACTAGCGCATGTTTAGAGTTCAGGGGTTTAGGTGCTTGGGTTTGGGGTGTAGGGCTTGGGAAACCTCCGCCAGCACCACCGCCAGCACCAGCACCAGCCCCAGCGCTAGCGGAAGTGCCAGCACCAGCACCAGCACCCACCAGCACTAGCACCAGCACCAGCACCTAGCACCTAGACCAGCACCAGCACCAGCACCACCGCCGCCGCCGCCCCCACCACCAGCACCACCACCACAGCAGCACCACCAGCACCAGCAGCACCAGCACCACCGACACCACCATCAGCAACCCCACCGCCCGCGCCACCACCGCCAGCACCACCCCCGAGTTCATAAAGCCAGGAACCAGGCCGGATAAGTTCAGAAAAAGTTCATATTTCCAGGCCTGAAAAGTTCATAAAAAGTTCATATTTCGTGGCCTGAAAAGTTCATAAAAAGTTCATATTTCGAGGCCCGAAAAGTTCATAAAAAGTTCATATTTCCAGGCCGGAAAAAGTTCATATTTTTAGTGTTTTATTGGTATTTACAATGAATCCAAGCCTGAAAAGTTCATATTTCGAGGCCTGAAAAATTCATAAAAAGTTCATATTTCGAGGCCTGAAAAGTTCATAAAAAGTTCATATTTCGAGGCTTGAAAAGTTCATAAAAAGTTCATATTTCCAGGGCTGAAAAGTTCATAAAAAGTTCATATTTCCAGGCCTGAAAAGTTCATAAAAAGTTCATGGCTGGCACTCCACCCCTGGTTCGCCCCACCACCACCACCACACCACCCCACCACCTACCACCCTACCACCCCACCACCCACACCACCCCACCACCCCACCACCCCACCACCCCACACCACCACCACCCCATCACCCCCCACGACTCCCACACCACCACCCCACCCCAGCCCGCCCTTACACCCCACCACCCCACCCACCCCACACTTTACCGCACCTCCCGCCCCACCACCCACTACCGGTACGTGGGGCGGTGGGTGGTGGGTGGTGGGTGGTGGGTGGTGGGTGGTGGGTGGTGGGTGGTGGGTGGTGGGTGGTGGGTGGTGGGTGGTGGGTGGTGGGTGGTGGGTGGTGGGTGGTGAGTGGTGGGTGGTGGGTGGTGGGTGGTGGGTCGTGGGTGGCGGGTGGCGGGTGGTGGGTGGTGGGTGGTGGGTGGTGGGTGGTGGGTGGTGGGTGGTGGGTGGTGGGTGGCGGGTGGCGGGTGGCGTGGGTGGTGGCTGGTGCAGCGCCTAAAATTTCTAAGGATCCCCCAATCAGCTGCGTGCAAAGTTTTTCTGGGAATGGATTTGTTAACCGCATTTTGGTGTGGGTGGTGGGTGGTGGTTGGTGGGTGGTTGCTGGTGGCTGGCGATGGCCACCGCCTCACCACCCGCTACCACCACCCACGACCCCGCCACCCCATCGTTGTTTCTTTTAACCCACAAGTTCACTTTTGCTAACTTATGTTAACTTTCTTTAACTTATGCTAACTTTTTATCTAACTTACCTAACCCCCTAGTAACATCTATATCTTAACTTAAGCCAAACGCACAATCTTAGTAGTAGCCATACTTTCGCACGGAAAGCAGAGCGCCCTGTTCTGCAGGTTGTTCACATACTTCAGCTGCACATGAACTCCAGCAAGGTAACTTCAGCACAATCTGCGGCACCCGATAGGTGCTACAAGACTCAGCAAGGCTCAGTGCGAAGCGGGGTGCCTCTTGACGGAACTCCTGTAGACTACACAAAAGCTACAGTAACTTTCTGCTTTAGGTGGACTGAGCCTCACTGCTGCTGAATCTGCCTCACTACTTGACAGTGAAAAGAGCTTGCTGCGCCTTAAATCATCAATCCATTGGGCGGCTGGAACCTTGACTGCCTTTGCCCAAGATTCAAGATGCTCTCATCAAGCAGGAGGCTGGCACGAAGCACTTGCAGTATGGCTGCTGAGGTCCTGCAATAATATTCTGTTTTGGGTGGATTATGCCTTACTACTGTTGCCTCATGCCTACCTAGCAAGGACGAAGCCCGCATGGCGGGGAGTCTTGGTTGAACAGTTGTACAACAGCTGCACTTTTAGCAGCTGTCAATGAAACAAGAGCTTGCAGCATCTAGCCGACAATCTTCAGCGCCTGTAGATCAACAATCCAGCGGGTGGCTGGCACGCCAGGGGCTAAGATTCAAGATGCTGTCATCTAACAGGAGGCTGGCACGAAGCACCCTGGAACACTTGCAGGCTGGCTGCTGAGGTCCATCAATTACATGCTGCAGAAGCCTGCAAAGTACGCTTCCTTGAATGCTGTAATGTTGCCTCTCACACACTCGACGGCTTCTTGTCCAAAATCATTCTCTAGAAGCCGCGCATATAGCCCTCCACCGACAGAGGCATTGTTGCCAGCTTCCAGGTTCACTGAAAAACGCTTGTTGTCCCACTCAACACAGGCGGCAGCTTCCTGCTTCCCACCATTCCGCATCATCTGCACGGCAAGCACCACGGCAGACTGATCCCAGTAGCGGAGAATATGCGGGCTCTCACCTGCTGCCGCGGGCCAAGTCGATACTAGCTTCGTCAAGAAATCAGCCCTGTCACTGTTACAGGATGCTGGTATGAAATCAGTGTCGTTGAGGTAGAAGAACATGCCGTGTGTGTAACTGGTAGCTGCCAAGACAAGAGGTTTGCCAAAGGAGAAAACCGAGTTGGCGGCAATGGGATCACTGAAGACATTCCATGCTGTACCCGGTGCTTTCCCTGTGAAGGAGCTTTCTGGGGCAGAGTAAGGCCAGACCTTATCCGTTGGGGTAGTGGATCTGGGAGACACTTGGCCCCCTTGGAAGTAGATGCGATTCACCTTCGACTCAAAAAGTAGCGGATCCTCTTGCAAGAAGTGTGCTATATTGGTTAAGGGTCCTAACGCAATGATGTTCACTTTCTGGCGACTCTGCCGCAATTTCTCGCGCAATAGCAGGCCAGTGTACCTCCAAGTCGGCGGCCGCACGTTGAAGGGCAAGCCAACATACTGGCTGAGGAAGTTGCCAATTCCGGCCTGCAACTTGGGATTAGGCAACCCATTCGGCTGCTTCAAATTCAACTGTGTGTCTGGATTGTAGGATGGCGAAAATGCCACAGGGATGTCTGGCTGACCAAAATGTTGGGTGAGTCGCATGATGGTCATGACACCCTGCCACTGCTGAGCCCAACCATCATTTTCCACGGTGATGCCGAGCACTTGAATATCAGGCTGAGCAAGTAAAAAGGCGATAGCCATCTGGTCGTCCGTGTCAACATCTGTGTCAATGACGATTGGTGTCCGATGGCCAAAGTCTCCCAAGGATGCAGCTTCCATCTCTGTGTCTACAGCATCCCTGCCCACCTTGGCATCTTTGTCCATGACTTCCTCGTGATGGTAGCGTTGCAGCAGCTTGACCGAGTCATCAAACCCCTCTTGATATGCTGCAGGGACGCTTGCACGGACAAGAAAGCCCCAAGCTACACAAAGAACTGAAGCAAGCATCAGGCAAAAGTGAGGCGCGATTACAGGTCAGGGCACTGGAGCCAAACTTGAGCCGTAGCCCCGACATTCAACTGATGGTATTGGTAATAGCATTCAAACCTTCAGCATCCTTCAGCACCACTGAAGCTGCTCCGAAAGCCATGGTTTTGCAGCCAGCGAGCAAGGCAGACCACGCAGCAAGGAGAGCACGGAGCATATGCGCTCTGGCAGATGTTCTCTCGCAAAGCCGCGAGGTTGAATCCAGACAATTTCACCATCACCACATGCTGGATAGGTGCGGATAAGTCAAACGGAAACAAGTGTTAAACAGTTGGTAGTGGATATCAGACGGAGTTGCTGTGGAGGCTGGAGCCACACGTGCTTCAGACATTGAAGGCCTGTCATGTCTGCGGTATATAGTATATTGCTATTGCACGCTATAGCCGCTGCAAAGAGTGCAAGAGGCTATCTTTTCTTATCGGGCTACGATGGCGGGGTCGTGTGGAGCATGATGTCCACCACGATCGGAGGGTTGGAAACGGCAAAGAAGGCATCGGCAGATGACCTGGGCGGCACTGCAATGGACGATCTGCTGCAGCAAACAAACTATCTGGCTCATCTGTGCCGTGAACGCATTACGTGCCATACTATACGAGGCAGCGAGATGCACGAGCTTGGGCCCTTGAGGCATTCACCTGTACGACCTCAGCTAACAAAATTGCAGTGCATCAGGGGCACTTGTCGGAGACAGGACTAGCAACGAAACAGCAGCGAGCGCAGCGTTATCCTCTTTCTTCGCGCTCATCGCCGAATCTACACCGTCCACGGCTGCTGGTATGATTGTATGATTCAACTGTGTTCAACTTCATCGCTTCACTCGTATCATCGTCGTCACCATCATCATCCATCACTGCTACCTCCATGATGCTGAGATGCTGGCACCATCCTTGCACGCGACTCCATGACCTGTGCCCCTACATGTCTGCCAAGCTTGGTGCTAAGAAGTTACCTCTCTCTGTCTCACACGCAGAAATCCAAAAACGCCAAGCGTGAGCTTGTTATCTTCTTTTGTGGCCCGCGCCAAGGTGATAGTGCCCGAAGATGTGCACTCGCGGCCTCACCTCGTCGATCCGCACCTGGACATAGCAATCTGCAGCGGAAGAAACCTGTCTGGCATCTCTGCCTGGAGGCGTTCACTCGCCCTGCCGAGTGCTCCTGCCAGTCATGTCTCAAGACGAACTGACGACGAACACAAGAGATACTGCTACCTTCGCCTGCAGGCCCATGAGTCACTAGGATGTCCAAGCCTGGGCGCAGCAGCGCAGCGAGGAGTTCAACTGCAGTAGACTTTATAGCGCAAGCTGCATGCTCTGCATATGCCAGCCTTCAGGCACGGCAGAAACTGCTTTGGCTTCGTCGTAGCCACTTTGGCTCCTTGGTCTGGGCAGCTGTCCGTGAATTGCAGGCATGACTTGGAAGGTCAACTCGAAAATGCCGACATGGTTCTGAAAGGCTCCGTTCGGGCTCGAACCGGCAGACAGCGGCCTTGGATGCAAAACTCGTTGCCAGCACGGCTTGAAAGTCTCTTCACTTCCAGCACACCAATATTCCGTCTTGGCCTTGGACGAGCCATGGATCTTTAAGCCTTTGCAAAGACATGAGATGAACCGAACGCCTCGTTCCTGGATGCTTCGACTCTGAGGTCGGCGCTGTCCAGCTCGATGGACTCATCCTGGCTCGGGCTCGGATTGTCTCATGGCTGCGAATGCAATGAAACGAGTCTAAAGGCTCAGGACTTTTCACGGGGTCCTCAAGGTACGTGCAATGGCCCAGCAGCCGCTTCACGCCAGCGGCACGGAGATCCCGCAAAGCCCCGTCCTGAAAAATACCGCTCTCATCGTGTGACATCTGCCACGGAACAGTGGAAACGATGCGCTGGAAACAATGGAATATGGTCTCAAGGCAGCAAAAGGCCTGCATCGACACAGTCTCAGGTTGCTGCATGATTTCCGGCTACCAACAGGCGATGCCTGTGCCTGGCAGGACTTACGGGCGGCACACGTGCGTGTCCGTCTCTCTCTGTCCTTGCACCAGCATGCCGATTGGCGATGCAAAGAGCTCCAAGCCGTTCTACCAAGGCCGTGACGACAATTCGCCAAGCCAGCGATTAAAGTCGGCTAGTGCAGCGATGTCCTCGACCTGAGAGAAAGCGCGCCGTCCCGACATGTACCGACATGCTTCACGCTAGGGACAAATTTAATGCTGCCGTGGGTCAGCGGCTCCTTTGCTCTCCAGCAGCACGTCGCCGCAGTGGACAAGGATCTGCAAGTGCAGGTGCTGACTTGAACCGGGCATGCAAGCGAATCGTGCAACTAGATATTACTTGGACCACTTGGACTTGCGCATCTCCCGGGGGCATTGGCGAATGCAGGTCCCGATGCTGCAAATGAGTGTCCTCATGTCGTCTTGGCAGCAAGGACAAGAAAGATCCTTTTTAGTGGTCGCCAAGCCCTGTAAGCATGGTTCATGCCATGCCAAGGCATCTGTTGTGTGGCCGCAACTCATCAGGCATCAGTAGGGAAGCGGCCGAGATGCACACACATCCTGGCAAACATGTTTCGGCATGCGAATCGAGGGCGAAGACTGCTCATGTCCGAGGGTCTCGCTGATGGCCCGGTCTCGGCACGGAGGTGGTGTCGGTAGCCTAAGGCTTATAAGACGACAGGCATCGTAGAAGAGGCAAACCGTCCAACACAAATGCCGTGCCATGTTCTCTAGAAGCAAACTCTTGCAGAATCTCTGGTGCAAAGCAGATTTCTCGCTGCTGGCTTCCGGACACGACTCTCGCGGTGTCAGCATCTGCAGCACAGGCAGAACTCGGCATCCGATGTTTCCTTGCCTTCGTGGTGTCATGTGGTCTCCTTCCTGGCGGATGTGTCTGCGATGCCAGACCTGGTGTCTGCCAGCTCTGCCCCACATCCTGCGATTCGAAGTCCAAGCTCTTCTTGACGAACTCGCCCCAATGATCATCCATATCTGGCCGCGCGGCGAAAACATGCGGAGACAGTCTACTCGACGCCGCGTCATCATCCGTGCTCGTGGCGCAGGGCGTTCAGGGAATCAAGCTCCTCCTGCAGTACCTTCAGGGCGCAGCCGGGAAGAACGCTTGCATGCCCACAGCGTCAGGACTGCAACAGGCGGGCTCTCATGAAATAGCTGTAGCTACACCACGTGCAGGAATGTTACCACGGAAACAGGAAGCGTTCAAGGGGTATCAGGAAATGTGGCCCAAAAAGTCGTTAATATCACCACGAGGAAATACACACATGCTTGGGCAGCGCTCAACCCCCTTGCAGCGCCCTGCTCAAGGACGGCTGGAGCTTACGTTTCTTTCCGAGGCCTTCCTCAACGTGCCAGGACCGGTTCTTTCCAAATACCTCACTGACAGTCAAGTCAAGCATCTTCTGCCTCGTCTAGGATGGCATGCCGGCTTCCCTCCCTCAACAAGACTTCGAGAAGCACAAACGAAGGAAGTCTTTGCTATGGAGAGTCAGAGTCACTCCTGGAGGAGCTCCACGAAGGCTTCGACTTCAGGATCATCCTTCCGTTCCGGTAGTGGGAGAATGCCGTCTTGCATTGCTAGTGTGTAGCAACGGCCCTTGCCTTCTGCACAAATCTAGGCTGCGATGTCGTCATGCACTGTTTTTATTTTCACGACAAAGCAGGAATGATGGAACACTGCATAGGCCTCCGTGCCAGTCTGTAATGTGTGGCGAATCCTGGACCGTGGGGCCGTGGGCAGGAGCGGCATTGCCTCGCAGACGGAAGGACGGAAGCTCCCCGAAGAGCGGAAGGTTATGAAAGCAGCTTGTGGCCAGAAGTTCGTCTCAAATCTCTTTTTTCGCGATCGAGATTGTTCAGAGTGGAGACCGTGGAGGCATGCCCTGTGGAGACTTCTGCACTACTGGGCGTCTGCATCAGAATGCCCAACGATTCAATCATCAAATCTGCACTCTGTACATGTACATGCGACGGTATCTCCGCAAGCAACATGGGCCGCGCACGCGAAAGTCGGGAAACGTCTCCAGAGGGGAGTTTGGGGGAAAGGTCTCAAAGAGATGGCCCCAGGAAAAGCTTCCTGAGCCGCTCAGGTGAGCTGTGAAATGGACGTCTGTAGACTCCAGGTCTTGCACACTCTGCAGATGAGAAACCGAAGCTGTGTTCCCACCAAAGACAGGATTCCCCCAAGAGATTACGGATCCGTCACACAACAATGCCGCAAATGCTTCTCGTGTAGCCTCGACCTTGCGCACGCCCTGAAGCTTTTCTGCGATTCTGCTACTGTCTCCGCCAACGTCAGGATGCCCCCATGTCACAACTTGGCCATTGTCAAGCAAAGCAGCAAAGGCTGCAACAGTACTCCGCAAGTACTTAACATTTTGGAGCTGCGCTTGAACGGAAGTGCTGTCTCCACCCAGGGCCTCGATACCCCACGTCACTACAGATCCGGTGGATAACAGAGCGGCGAAGGAGAAACGGGAAGATGCCAGCTGCCGCACGTTCCTGAGACCATGTGGGAAAGCCCGGCCATTCAGGCCCCAAGTTACAACTGCACCATCTGCAAGGAGAGCCGTGAAGCCCGTCGATGCTGCGGCAATGTCTCTGACATTCTGGAGCTGATGTTGCACTGGGCCTGCGTCGCCACCTGCGGAAGGCAAGCCCCACGCAACGACTGTGCCATCATCACGAATTGCAGCAAATGCCCCCATGGAAGCATGAAGCAGTTCTACCCGCTTCAGCTGCTCCTGCTTGCAACTGCCTCCAAAGGCAGCTTTGCCCCAAGTCACCACCGTACCATTCCCCAACAAGGCTGCAAAAGCAAAGCGAGTAGCCACGAGCTGCTGTACATCATGCAACTCCTCCTCCGGCTCCAACTCCTCGTTTAATCCATCACATACTACGGAGCCGTCACCTCGAAGCAAAGCACCCGCACCGCCGTCCCACGTCTGAACTCTTTTGTCCTTCCGAGTGAGAGCCGTCAGGTGCTCATCATCTTCCACACAGCAATCGGCAACTTTGAGAGATCCCGCAAGTCGACTCCCACAATTTGTTATCAAAGCCATGATGCCGGTCCTGGGGTCAAGGGCATTTCCGATCCTGAACTTCACTTGTGCACTCTCCTTCAAATCTTCCACCGTCCACTTCAACCTCGCCTGAACTCGCACAGAGGCACCGCTGAGCAGTCCGACATTTACGGAGACGGCCATGCCCAGGGATGCAAATCACGCAGCTTACGGCGAACATCGGCGAACTAATCCTTCTATGTTATGCTTTTTCAGTCTGCACTCGGAGAAAGTAATTAGTAAGTAGTATGCGGCGTGGCCAGGGCTCTTTGGTCCAATGGAGCCAGCAAGATGCATCTCAACGAATGTGAAGTGGAACAGCCTCCCTGAACCGATGGAGAATTACAGGCAACCTGCCCCCTGCTGTGGGTTGTTTGTTCTTGAAACTCAGCCATCTTGCTTATGCGCTAGCTTATGCGTGACTGTTCCATCCTGCTCGCGCTTTGATTATGATTCGTTCGGTTGCAGGTGCAGGCTAACAAGACGACGGGCCTTGGTCGGTTAGACATGTGTTTGTGCTTGGCCATGCTCGGGTCTGTGCCAAGGATAAGTAGAAGGCGATGCAACATCCATTTTTGAGGGGCTGCAGTGCACATACTGAGCACTGAATCTCATCCAAACAATGCCGCCTCACGCAAGAAGCTCGAAGTAGCAACTTCAGCCACGAGAGTGAGGCAAATGCCACCTGGCTTGTAAATTGCGATGCCCAGCTCTTGTCACCTCTTGTTTCCCAGCCTTTCTCGATGCTCAGCAACTCATCCTGCAAAGCCCAACCAAAGTCCGCCATACGGCAGCGCAGCTCCATCATAGCCTCCCACAGACTCAGCGTCTCAAACTTTGAAATCTGGGGTGCGGCGGGACGCGGAATGCTGCGGACGCGTGACCAGGTTCCTCATTGCATAGTGCGGCCAGTGCGGCTGCCGCCTCGGGAGAGGTTGGCACGCTGGGCTGCAGCACGAGGCGCTGCGCAAACTGTGCGGCGCAGGGGATCCAGGTAGACAGCTTGCCTGCGTCTCATCGCTTCGTGCCGTTTTCATGGCGTACTGCCGTACTACTAGTATGTACCGCGATTCTCTTGCTGCATAGGCCTGCTGCAATGCCGGCTGCACATACCACGTCCACCTCGCCCGGGTCTAGTGCGGACAGGCCATCCCCCTGCCTGAAGTCAATACCTGACGTGGAGAATCCAAAGCAAACGCTGAAACCGGTCCACATGGCCCATCTTTATCACGGGGTACGGCGGCACTGGTCGGTCGGCAAGGCGCGTGCCAGCATGCGACCTTGCCGGTGCACGCAGGTCAGAATTTCATGCCTGTTGCTAACGGTACGACTTCGCAAGTCGGCGGTCTGTCGACTTCAGGAAGCCTAGCCCTCGGAAATTCGTGGTACCGTGCTCCATCGTAACAGTATATAAGCCATGGGAGGTCATCAGACTCGCAGACATGGGTAGCTGCCCAAGCCCAAGCCCGGCCTACTTCCAGAGGCCCGGAAGCCAAATCTGTTGCGAGCACCCACACGCCTGACTTTCGTTGCAAGTATAGTATTAAGATAGAGATGATAACCAACAAAGCATAGATTCCTCACAGAATTGCATGCTGCCGTCTGTATGTTCACCTCTGTTAATGCAGATAGAATGTTGTACTAAAAATAGCCCCAATGGCCAGCCAAGAAGCTGGCGTCGCGCTGCACAAGGTGCAGGGCCAACAAGGCTTTGTAGCAACCGACATCAGCCACCCGCAAAGCTTCTGGTCGGTGACAGGCAGCTCGCAGACAAGATTTGCACGAGCACATGAAATAAGTTTACAGTTTAGAGGGTTTGTCACACTCCCCACACGGCTCCCGACAGGTCTCTTTCTCAGCTGCTTGCATGTCTCTCTAAACTTCGTCCTGGGTCTGGTCTCTCGCTTTTTCTTTCATCAGAGTAGTTAAGTAGTTTTCTCGTGGGGAAAAATGTCGGATTCCTCGGCCCGGCATCGGGCGCAGTGCTGCGTCGGCCACGGGCATCAAACGCAGGGGCAGCTCGGTCGCGCAGACACCGCCCGGCGCGTCTCCCATGCGGAGCTGAAGCTGCTCTGAAAGCTACGGCATAGGCCCGACTACAGGCCCTAGGCGCTAGACTAAATGTTGGCTGCTTGGTATAGTGTTACACAGGTAATTGATACCTAAGACTTCGACAATTTCGAAACACAGTCACAAATTCAAAACATTAAAGACCTGCTGGAAGGAAGGCCACAAAGCCTGGCCGAGACCCATCCAGCGGCCGTGAATTCCCGACACAACCAAGGCCCGAACATGCACAAATGCTCACTGCAAATCACTTGCACAGCCTGACTGGACCAATGTAACAAAATGCAACAGATTTTTTTCATCCTCCGAGTGGGTTATGCATCACTTGGCAAGGACTGTGAAGGCCGTGCTCGCCGCACGGCAAACTGAGCATTCGCAGCGGCTAGCGGCTTGTCGGAATCACGAGCTTCCACCCGCGCTGGGGACAGGGAAGGAATATTCTTGAGCTGTGCATGCGGAGGAGGGATTACCCGTGTCTTCGGCTTGATGGTCTGCGGCGTTCCCAGCAGAGCATTACGCGGCCGTTCGAGTGACAATCCCAATGGAACCAACGCTGGAGGCCAGGGCGAGGGGCCGACCAACTGTTCCTTGGAGTCTTTGCTCTTTTTTGGCGGCAGCTCCAGCCATCGTTCCAAAGCAGGGTTTCGAAGCACACGGTTCTGCACAGCAGCCAAGACCATGTTGGTGGACATGAAGACGAACACGCCTCAGGGCAGGCGCATGTCCGACAACACCGTACTAGCATGCAATACCAATCAAGAACATGTTTCTCTGCAAAAGTTTTGGCTGGTGCCGCCCAGTCCTGCCGGGAATCCTGAAGTAAAGGGAATGAACATCAGAGCAGATCCCCGCATGATATACTTCTGATACTTCTGCATTGTGTTCTGGCCCAGCTGTGATCCGCTGTCGTCACCACCTGCACCCGTTGTGGTGGGCACCGCTTCAGTATCCACGGAACCAAAAAGCTCGGTGTTTGTCATCATGATAGCACCTTGGGCACGTCAAGTCAGCTGTCGCGCAGCATTAACTGGACTGCGATATCGTGATGTCTTCGTAGAACGGTCTCATGCAACCGTGCGCTTCACTGGGCTGGGAGATTTGTTCTGGGAACTCCGGGAACCCCCTAAGATCTGCAAGCACATGTATTGCGAACATACTTTGCTTGAACTGTAAGCAACATTTCGTCCCAGGTCGCTGGTGAGGATGGGCATGAGGTAGTATGGATCGGACAAAGCGAGGCTGTCCAGCCAAAGCGGGGCCTCCATGGCAAAGCCCCGGAAGACATCCGGGTGGTTGGCCATGCCACGCATAGCCGCAAACGCCGTAATGTACAGAGGCATCTGGAAGAGAAAGAGATTCCAGGTGCCCTTCATCATGAAGAGCTTGCCGTGCTTCTGGGTGAAGGCTTGAATCTTCTTTTGTGCTTCTTGGGCCTTGACCGGATCTCCTTCCGTCTCCTTCTGCTTTGCCATCAGCTCCTCGTATTTGGGCTGCAGGAGCGCCTTCTCTCGTGTGCCGCGAATGGCAGATACGCTGACAGGTAAGGCTATGAGTCGAATGCCGAAACATGTGGCTATGATCGCCGCGAGCCACGAGCAGCCAGCATAATCGTGAACGTCAATCATAAGCGTTTGGAGTAGATCTACAGGGAGCCATGGGTGGTATTCACTGGACACATCTGTGCCCCTTGCTACAGCTGCCTCCAGGCATCTGTCAAGCAGGTTTCGGGACATGGAATCTTCTGGATAGCCCGACATTGCCAGTTGTGCCCGAACAGGGCCGGCTGATATGAGCCGCACATTTCGCCAACCGCGCGCAGGCGAGATCCCAAGCGGCACACGCTGCCTGGCCTGTAAACAAAGCCTGGCAGAGTTGGGCCGGAGGAGTGAGGGCATGGTCGAAGTGCGCCTAAGAGCTTGCTGTGGAGCCAGAGCACATCGTCACAATCGGCCGCAAGCAGACGTGCAAGTCCAAGTGGGTGTGTTTAGTAGAACTGGATGCGTCTGGAATGCACGAAGCTTAGAGGCCGCTACCACTGTACATCTGCCGGAGAGCGGTCGACGGGAACGACCTGGACCGGTTCTCAAATGCGCAGCCGATGCACTACAGTTCAGCACTCCGTTAAGCAGTCTTTCAACCCACCGGCGTGATATCGAAAGATGCTGACAGAATGAGTCCCGAGCCACATGTATTATTTGGCGCTCTGTGCCACCTCAACACAACCGGTATGGCAAAGCCCCACGGCTGATCGGTGGGAGATCACACTGTGCTGGGTACACCACGCAAACGTCGGAACCAAAGCAACGCTGCAAGACGGGCACCTCGGGATTGGAAAGGCAACGCAGCGGAGAGTCAATGGAGAACTCGACACTATCGCTTTCAGCGATTACCAACTATGCAAACTACAGCAGAAGAATCATGCGATCTCGTAGGGTCCCCCACGCCCGGCTGGCCTGAGCAAAAGCAGCCACACCAAGCCTGAACCACACTCACTCGCCCTTTGCTCTGCAGCTTAGACTAAGCCACTTCCCATGCATGGGTGTGCGTCTCCTGTCCGCCGTGCAAGCTGACAAACAATGCACTTGTACAACCAAGAACACATGAGCACAGATTCGCCTCCCTCTTCAGCAGTGCTCACGAGAGTCTAGAAGAACCCCTCTCTTGAAGTTCGCTGGGTAAAACGGCAAATTGTCGATCCTTTAACCCCCTGCCCCCAATACCTTGGCCTGCTTTCGGACCGTCTCATGCCCTCTCTGTCTAGGCTGGTGGACTATAGCGCTGCAAAAGAGCTGGCGCATGCTGGGGCTGCGTCGCCCGAGCATGCTGAACGGGAGCTGCACGAAATCCTTGCGGCTGGGGGCTCAGCACGGCACAATGTTGGAGTAGTTCTGGTCGGCGAGACCGGACAATTCGTTGCCCCTCTTGCGATCAAACGCAAACGCATCCATGCAAAGGAACTCGGAGAATGATTTGTCCAAACTGCTGCTTTACCAAACACCACTTGCACATTTCATTAATTTGAACCTTGGAACGCGAGGGCTCCAGCGAGACCTTTTCGGGTGCAGTCTTTCAAGGGCTTCTTACCACAGAGTCCGTTCCGCCTTCCCAAAGCAGATCGCCTGCGACGACCCATCGCACGATGCAGCGATGCCTCCTTATCTTCCTTGTATCCTCTAAGAATTCTCTGCTTCCGTGCGCCAAGCCGCCAGTCCGCGGCTCTGGCGTTGCTGTCCCCTTGTCTGCTGTCTCTCCTCTGCTTGCGACGATGTCGAGCAAACTGGAGCCAGCAAAGTGGCGGTTGAGGCGGCCAATTGGTGGCAGAAAGCGATTGGCAAGTCACTTGCCCAAAATATGGAAATCATGTAGCTTTTGGCGGGTCGATCTGCACACATGGCAGAATTGAGAATGCATGCCGTCTTTGTCATCTCCAGGCGTTGGCGTTAACAATCTGGGTCGGGAACGTCGCTCAGGCTTGGGTGGCCTGCAGTCACCAGGTTTCGTTTACCCTGTGGCTAGGTCTCGAAACTCCAGGGCGCTGACGTCTCCAATGGAATCGGAGCAAGGAGGGTTTTACCTACAAGCCAAAGCCCGGTGCTCGATCGGATCACATCAAAGCAGAAAACACGAAAGGTGGATATGCCTCTCGAGTCGCCTGATCGACGTGGCGGAGTCTGCGGCCTCGGAGACATATCGCTTTGTGCTCGGGGCCAGACGCGGATCCGTAAGTACTTGTGACTTGTGCCACTTCTAAGTAATCATGTCGCGTCTGCTGCATGTGTGAAACCTGAGACTCTCACGCGGGTGTCTCTCGGAGGTCTTCTGAGTCCGCCGATGTTATTGGAGTTGCTCCTAATCGCACTTCAGTCTTGACCAGCCAGCTATCTTTGAAGGCACTCCAAGACTCGAAGCCCTTTGCCTACCCTAGCTCTGGTGCCCTGCACCGATTCACGCCTGTCCCATCGCTCGCCGCAGAGCTGGAAAGTAAGATCCTGCTGGAGACGATGGCTAGCCGCTAAACAGTCTCAGGGCTGAGGCTCAGGTCTCGGCTGGGCGGACTGCCTTGGTGCCGATGGGGCCCACACAGTGGTCGACTCCTTCCAGCACGAACTGCGACGGAAAAAATGCCGTCGAGATGTCTGCAAAAGGTTATCGAGAAGGCCTCGGCCTCGGCCCAAATGTCATCTCGGACCCGCTTGTTAACCTCGGTACTTTTCTCCGCTGCTCTGCACCCTTTCTAGGCGGACATCTCCGGCGACAGAATTCGAAGGGCTTTAAGGCGAAAGAAACAAGTCGAAGGTCAGCAGAACAGTTCTGACCACTGGCAGGCCCTCAGGCCAGACCTGGGACTTGAACCACAGCCAAGCTCCAAAAAGAAGCCACTGCGTTCTAGAAGCTTGAAACGACGAGATGCTTGGCAGTCTGCTCGATGCTGCAGGAAGTACTGGACCAGGCAGCTCCAGCTAGCTTGGTCACTTTGTCACTTCGTCTAATTCTGAAAACAAGAAGGCGATGGCTCGATGGCCATGATGCTCTACAAAAGGCTGCAAGCAGTGTGGCAGATCTGTCTCAAGAAACGTTACACGCTGCATTCCGGACTCCTGCAAATGCTTGTAGAAGCTTCGTCCATACGCAAGTGTGGCTTGCATCCTTCCCACGACGATGAGGACAGGCACTGCCTTGTCGGGGCAGGCTTCTGCAGCCTTCCATGGTGAGTTCTCTTCAAAGATGGATTCTGAGTCACCGAACTGACCCTTGGCAATGAAGGCTCGGTTGTGAGTGAGCGTTTCCCAGCTGTGAAGCGCCCCGTCCCAAACCAGAATGCGCGAGAAAAGCTCCGGGTGCCGCAATCCAAGAAGCATGGCTCCAAAACCCCCCATGCTGAAGCCTTGAATACATCGCGTCTCAACCACGAGATGTCTCTCGACCTGTGGCATGACATCCTTCAACACACGAGTGAACATCTGAACAGTCTTGCCATCTGACCACATTCCGAACTTGGTCTCGTCATATGGAGCGACGATATGGACCGGTCTGCGAGCTTGCTCCAGGGCAGCAGCTGTCCAGTAAACCTCTTTCCAAACAAAAGCGAAAATTTCTCCCAGACCGTGCAGATGGTACAGGACGCATGCTGATGGTGCTGGCGGCGTGTACAAACAGTACCAAGTTCCGCTCTCCGTCTGGTGTTCAGTAACAGTTCCTTGAAGGGTTGGCTTGGAGCCACAGACATATGGCACCATACCTCTCAGAAGTGCTGCCATGTTATCAACACCTTGGACACAGTTCTACGCTATACAGCGTCTGAAGTGGCTGCGTTCCCACTTGACGCAGGTCAGGCTACCGATGCAAATCCATACTGGACAGAATCTTTCAAGTCTCTGGGTCACCTGCACGCAGTGGCATGGTCTCAAACTCGGCCACGGGCTGGCCTTCCAACAGAGGCAGCATGGGCTGGGTGAGAGCACACCATCAAGAGTTTCGGGAAACTCTGGAAACCCTCTGGTGCTGAAGCGAAAGTCTTTTCTCATGCAGCGAAGACACGCTTGAACCGCGAGTGTTGGATTCAGGCAGCACGATGAGGCTGTCGCCTCGAAAGTGGTGCTGGTCCAGGGCTTCTCCATCGAGTCTGGTCACCAGTTCGTTCCTAGAAAAGCACGTCTGGAGTCTGGAGCATCTAGCATCTAGAACGGGTCTAGCGGCGGTTCAAGCAGCCGGGCTACGAAAACACTGAGGCTAAGGCAGGATGCCAAGCATGGTAATGGCACTCATTCGATCAGCCTCATAGCACCCGCTTTGCAGCTTGCATGCGCCAGGGGTTGAAGGTTCGGACCTCCTGTGCATCAATGGCCTCGCGCAGCAAAGGCTCCAGCACCTGCAGTGGCACAACTTCGTGCGCTAAGATGCAAGCTGTGGCTAAGTACACTGCGAGACAAAAGGCTCTGGGCAGTGGCAATGCAGTCTATGAGGGCGCATCTGCGAAGGATTTTTAAACGCGACAACATTTGAGCTGCCAGCCACTTCTGGTCCTCGTAACGAAGCTTCATTCAAGACGAGTTCCGTCCCAATGCTCCGCATCCTGAAGCACGACTTGATTCGAAGTTGAGTCGAATGTATCTGTCGCACATGCACACCCAACATACAATGCGTGTGACAGTGCCCACTTAAATCTGATCGTTTCGAGTGGAGGAATCGCAAGGGTAGAGAAGCACATTTCCCGCCACCGCCCGGAATCCGTGGAAACAAATTGTATGCGGAGAAGCGGACCTTCTTCCAGTGACATGCACGGTCACTTTTAATGTATTTTGGATTCCCCATGCAATGTGCTCGAAGTCAGGCCAAAACAATGGAGCTTTCAAGCGCCAACGTGTTGTTCGATTTACTTTCGATTCCCCATGGGCAAAGGGCTTGAAAAATAACGAAAAAGTGCAACGTGACGAAATCGAAGCACTGCGAAAATTTCCATAGATGCTCAAGTTATTTTCGATTTCGCATGCGAGGGCTTTTAACTATGGCCGAAGTCGTGGAACTGGACAAACTCGAAAACACAGTGTGCTTTTCGATTCATATTGAATTCATTTTCAATCTCCTAGGCGACCGGCTTGAAACCAGGCCAAAAAAACGTCGACATCAAGAATCAAAACGATCCTGTTTTTTGAATATTTGTTACGAGAATCCGGAAAGATTTCCGGCTGTTTGTGCGATCGGAAATTTAGAGCTCTTCATGAAACATGTTTTCCTGAAACTACCCAAACTGGCTTCATGTGCATCTCTACGGCAAGACAATGCTGGACGAAGTCCCGCTGGCCTATTAGTGGCAGTCCTTGTCGACATGCAAGTAATGAGACAAACCACCTTAGCCCTCGAGACCAACAAGCACGAAGTAGCTCGTGCTGCGTCTTCGCTTCAGTCGAAAACCTCCAACAAACTGAACTGAATCTGCCAGGTTCTTCAATCAAACCCTAAAACGCTCTATCCGCACGGTTGTACCAATTGGCCAAATTCCTCGACACGTGGCCATTAGAGTCTCATTCCTCGATATGCATGGCAGCATATCCAACAGGTCGCGATGCTCACAGTCAGCTGAGGACTCCGCAGAAGTCGCTGCGCGCTCCGAATCTGGACCCAGTACTTTGCATCCCCGTGGTGGCGCTGCCACAAGCCTGAGAGATGCATGTAGCGAAATGAGGACTGCGCCTAGGTGCTCCACTTTGACACGAACAGCAGCCGCCACAGGCACCTTCGGCTTCTTGGGACACAAAATTAGAACTTCGATGTCGCGACAAAATAGGAGGAGCAGCATTGATTTCGGCAGATTAAGAAGACGTACTATGTGACGCACTTTGTTCAGCTTGTCGCTCGGAAGTTTCGGCAGGTCGGATTTTGCGGGGCCAGGCTATACAGCCAGAGGCGAAAGACCCACGAGCTGTCGGAAAACAGTTCTTTGGACCCTGCAAAACGTGCATGCTAACTTCACACGAACTCGAGTTCCTTGTCTCCCCATCCTATGCAGTGCTTGTGCCGATCAAAGGTAGTCCGGATTCCCTCCATGATTCGCTGATGGAGTTCATCAATCTGCTCAGTGGTGGGATTCTCCACCTGCGGGACCTCAATTAGTTTGCCTATGGCCATGGTGATCTGGACCCGGTATGGGATAGGCAGGAAACAGCGACCCCAATAGAGGAAGAAGGATGCTTGCACTTTCCGTGAGATGGATTCGAGTACTCCCCAGCGATCATACCAACACGAGAAGGCAGCTGTGTTGCCGAAGGAGTAGACGGGGATCAAGGGCGTTCCTGTCCTCAAGGCCAGCCTTGCCAGGCCCTTTCGATCCTTCATTGCCACCAGCTCTCGGTGTTTGTTGGTCCGGAAGATGCCGGCGACACCGTCCGGGAGGATGCCAACACATTGGCCGCGGCCAAGTGCTTTCACCATATCCTTCCGGTCAGCCGTCACACAGCCATAGGACATCAGGTAGCGGAGCCCGGGTGTTTTGAACACAACGTTGGCAGCCGCACCGACAAAGGGGCAACCGAGAGTCTCGTTGATCGCGGGAATGCCGAGCATGTTAGCGAATGGTAGCACGCCATGAGGTGGCCCGACACCGATCCACGGCATGCTCTTCCGCGCAGTCTGAACGTCATCATCACACCACAGGAGGCGGTAAGAGAAGTACCTGAGCAGTCTCGAATAGCCTGGCATACTAGAGATACCCCAGGGGGCCCGCAATCGACTGACCTAAAAAACGATTCGCTAATGGGGCGCTTGCAAATCCCGATCCTGCCAGACAGAACAGGATCAACCACCGCGGAACACGTATGTAGCAAACACAAGAACTCGCAAGCGTAGGGCAAAATTACGGAGGCCAGTTCCGTCAAGCAGCTTGTTCATCCACTGCGTCAGCTTTGACTTCATCAGCTCGTGCGATAGCTTCGAACCAGGTGCCGGAAGAGGATGGACTGCAAGGGTCGTAACCAGAAGCAAGAAAGCGGCCTCATGCAGGTCTTCCAAAGCACATTTAGCTGTTTAGCTGACTCGGCAAGTGCTGCAAGTGCTCCAAGTCCCGAATGCCTTCTCTCTCCAAGTTCCAAGGAAGACCGCAGCCAATCCCGTAGTGACCAGGAAAAGCGGGCCACCCATACACACCTGCGATCATGCAAATGAATGCTTTTGCCAAGTGACTTGGAAATGCAACAACTGAAGGCAGCAGAAACAAGCGACAAGGACTGGCAGTGCTCAGCAGACGGCCGGACAACCTTATATACATGTCCCACAGCACACATTACCCCGCACCCATCCCGCCAGCATTGCAGCCATCACGGCAAGCTCCTCCGTCCACGAAATGGCCTCGGAAAGCGCTAGTTTCTGCTTCATAGCAAGCCTCACAAATTCTACATGGATCCAAGGTTCTTACAGCTACTGGGGTCAAGGATTCCTCGAATCTCTGTTGCAACAAACTGACTTCGCAATTGAAGTGCGGCAGTAGCAAGAGTGCAGAAATGTCTCTGCGACCAGCGAACTCGAGTGACCTAACGGCACCGACTTAGACCCGGCCCCCTGGATGCCACACGAGCCACGGAAGGGGTTGTCAGACACTTCGGCGGGAAACCTTCTGGCCCCGTGCTCTTTACGAGCTTCCTTGGCCAAGGTGCAAATTACAGAATCGTTTCTCCCCGCTGAGTCAAGCCCTTTCGCAAGCTTGCCATGTTTGTTGGCAATCGCAGCCGAGCTCACATTCAGAATGCAAGAGAGATACACCATACTGTAAGCGAGCATCTTCACAGCTTCTTGTCGCTCCTCCATGGACAGGCTGTACATCTCCTGCAGTGACGGACAGCTGCTGCTATTTTGAAGCTTAAGCTGTGTGAAGTACTTGTAACCCGTTGCATGGCTGCACTGTCTGTACTCGCTACACCGGCATCGGCATGTGCTTTGATGCATCAGAACAGGCGAGACGGCTATGGCTCTCCTCTGGCAGGTTGTAGAGCTGAAGAGCATGGTAAGATTTGGGTCCTGGGTCGATGGCTCAAGCGGTCATGCCTGTCTGTTTTCCCACGCAGGCTTGTGAAACTTGATCGCGGGTGCGAAGCTCGCATACTTCACCAGCTGCAGCCATTCGACTCGCCAGTCGTCGGCTAAGTTGTATGATTGTATGATGATCTTATTGAATTTCTTGCCACCGGCCTGCAAAAAAGAGAACCGAGAGTCTTACATGTTGATACAGTGACCTGACACTGACATGGTTAATCCCCAGGCACGGGATGATGCTGGCACGGAAACAGTCAAGTTGCAGACGCTCCGTGCTCAAGCCTTTTGCTGGTTGTGCCGCTTATATACATCCAACGAAATCTTCGCCTTTACAGCAGTTTACCTTGCCGTTTCTAGATGCAGGCCGAGGATCTACCATCATCGGCGACCGAGTCACCACCCATGGCTGCCAAGTGCTGCCAAGCGCAGGACAGGTCAGCGGAAAAGAGGTCTGTGACAGGTCTACACTTGAGGCATCGCGAATGAGTCGGTGGGTTTCGGGTCCCTTCTTTGATCTGGCTGCCTGCCATCTCTTCTTCCCAACATGCACGCGGCCACACGACACCGCTCGAGCTGAGGCTTGAACAGTCGGCCGCACTTGTAACCACCTGTGCGCTTGGTTGTCGCGCAAGAATTGTGATAATCTTCCGGGAAAAAACATGCCGAACGGCACATCCTCCGAGCCAGTGGATGCGCTGTCGCGGATGGACGGCAGTGCAGGTGAATCTGTGCCTCGAGGCTCGGGAGACGTGCTCTCATGGATCTCTCTGCCTCAAAACAGCCTAAAAAGCCTCGAAGAGTGAGCGCACGGCGTGCTCTCGGAGCTTTCCTGGTGTCGACCTGTAGCCGTAACGGGGAGAATGGTAGCATATAGCGGTGTGAGTGCGAATAGTTCCTTCCGTGCGATTGCGGTATATGGCGGTACATGTGTTTGACAGGAGCAGTTGGGAAACAAATCCTTCCCGACACGCGACTCCTGCCGCTTCCGTTGCATTACAAATCGATTGCAGGTCGTGTTAGCACTAACTAACCTCCAGCTGCAGGCCGTTGCTCTTGTCATGGGCAGGGTTACTACACGATTTGACAATGTACTCCTCAACCCTGACGCCTTGGATTGCCAGGTCCAGGTTGGATTTCCGTTCCCGAGTGTCTTGCACGTCGCATTGTGTCCACATGTGTCCACTGGAATCGACAGCGAGAGCTTGGACGTGATGCTCTGTTCAGTCTGGCATGGCAGTAAGATCGCCAATTAGTGGTGGTGCTCAGATGCTGCAGTTGCCTCACACGCACATGTAAGTGGCCGACGAGCTTCTCTGACGAGCACGCACGATGCCAAGACCTACGACCTGAGGGTGCAGCAGTGTTGCTGGCTACAGATCTTACGAGTCCAAAATTCACTCCCAAGCCGGGTCCGCCAAGTCCCGATCGGGGCGGCGTGCAGGGAGCAGGGCCCACGTCCAGCTCCGCCATAAAAATTCTGGAATGTCAGAAGCATATCCAGCACTCTACTTCTGCGAGACTCAGCATCTGTACACGCATGCTGTGCGCCTGCAGTCGGCGAAGCCTTCCCCGCGAGGCTTTATCTGCCACTGCTTTGGGCCCACATCTCCAACGGCACAGTAGTCAGTAGTCCAAGAAGTCGCTCGATGAGTCCAGTCGTCATGCAATTCTACGGACACGTGTTTCGGATAGACTGAGACTCTTCACGCTTTATACTGACAATGACGACAAGCAGCGCTGCTACAGTTGTTTTGAAGTCATCGCTCAGCGCAGTCTCTGCCTAAGACACCGAGCCCGTCATCACTTTGCGCGGTCATCACTTTGCCGTATCATCGACCGATGAACTCATCTGCAGAGTTGCACTCCAGGTGACGATATGTCTGCCGCAGCTGTGCCCAAGGTGCCGCATCGTCAGCTCTGCCAACATTGAAACCACCCGCCCGGCGATCGATACCACAGTCGTTGTAGCCCCTGATGCGTCGCTGAGGGAGCTGTTTGTCGAGGCAGTTAAGCCATAGAGCGGGAATGTGTGCCTATCCACGATTGTAAGGGGGAGTCGCTCTTGTTGCAATCCACCGCCAACATCGGATCTTCCGTCAAGGTCAGGGCGCTACAGCAGAGCTGCGCTCGCTCGACTTCATGCGGCTCAGATGTCCGCAGACAAAGCATAGCCACTGATCCACTGATCGCGGAGCGTCTCTAGCAACCAAGCATCCACTTCACCCCACCTCAGATTTTCTCGGCCAAACCATCCCGTCACGATCGACACCTGCGATGCGAGGCATGAGTTGTTGTGCAACTGGGTTTGGTATTCTGAAGTCTGAAGCTTCAAAGTCTCCTGCATGATCCGTCTCACCCAAGGCCTTTAGATTCCCTTTAGCCTCCCGCTTCGGACTTCCAGTGCAAGCCTCGGAGATGAGGGGAGCCCCACCATTGGGAAATATGTCGATGCGCAGGAAGTCAGCTCCCAAAGCCTGCGGCTGTAGCGAATTCTGTCTCCTCGTTTCCTTGGAGTCTTGCTGTCGCCTCACTTTGTTGAAGTACTCCCTGCAATGACAAGCTACCGAAGATCGCATGACATCTGAAAACTCCAGGACTCTCAGGCTGGCTACATCTGGAGAGTTTATGTATAGACGGAACAGGCCGAGGCCGCGCGCGCGCTGGGGGCGAGACTCTTCAGCGACTAAACACCCTCCCCGGGCGCGCGCGCAGACTCTTCCGCGACTAAACACCCTCCCCGGGCTGCTCTGGCGGAGGCCGCGCGCGCGCTGGGGGCGAGACTCTTCCGCGACTAAACACCCTCCACAAGATCTGGGCTACAGAAATGAGGGAGGTTGAGACGAGTGGGAGACCACGCTTAGCTGCGGTCAACTCAAGATTAAGTGACGTCCAAGCGGGAGGCTTTAAACCAAAGTGCCTTAGGCATGATGTGAATTATCGAACCACAGCCAGCGTGGAATGCACTTGGAGGGCCACTGTCTGCTGTCGCACCTAAGTTTGTTCGTTGTCTAAAACCTGATCAACCAATGAATCCGTGTTTGCATGCTGCTTTTGACAGCAGCAGGCCCGACTTGTGAAATCGTCGCGACAATGGCCGCTCTCTGAATCAGATTATAAATTTGTTAACACCGATTGTGTGTGCGTGTGTGTTTCAGGCCTGTGCGGCTTTTTCTGCCAGGCTGACCACGGCTGAAAGTAGCTCGTGGCCCCAGGGCAAGCCCGTGCGGAAGGCACCCCCCGCCTGCGGCGCAGTGAGATAATTACAATGATATCTATCTCGACCGGCGGCTTGAAACAGGTATTACAAGATGTCACAAGTAGGGACGGTGACACAGTGAATCTTGCGAAGGTCATGGCGGCTTCACCCTTGTGGAGAAAGCGCTCGGCTGGTGCGTGCAAAACATGACAATACCAAGCTACTGTACTACCGTGAATGCTTGTCGCTGTGGCAAGACACTAGCACAACAGCATTTCCGGAACCTCGATGTGCTTCTGGGCTTTCATTGGCCGCGCGAAAATTGGCGTACCATCGCCTGAACATCGCCCCCCTTCCCTGTCGGCAACAGCTTTCTTTCCCTTTGGAGAACCGACTTGCCTCTTGATTCAGCCATGGCACTTGCGAAATAGTTCAGCCACGTGCCGCCGGCTGCCATGACACCAAAGAACGAGAGGCGGCCCCAGGCCACGAAACAGAAGGCCTAGCAAAAGCCATGTGAAAACGGGACCCTGGAAAGCCTTTGCAAGCTGCATGAAGCCATCAACTCAAAGCCGAAGCTGCCACATAAATTCCAGTTGAAGGCCTCGTCGGGGAGAAGCCCACTTCGACCATCCCAGGTTACGGCAAGCCTGAGCGCGAGATTTCACAGAGATGACGGCAACGGAAGAGAAATTCTACTGACTTTGCTCCGGACTCTTCCACGAGAAGGCCTTGCTTCACATTGTCGTCTGCGACGGGCGCATTGGTGACGCAGCGAGTCTCGCCTGAACACAAGCCTTGCTCCTGCCATGCCCGAGATTTTCGAGATGAGCGTCTATACCCTCCGGCCAGAGAGCACTCCTCAGAAGTGCTTGTACACTCATCCCAGCAGCGAGGTGCTGAGGGCTGCTCCTGGTGACAGAACCACCGGTGCTTTGTCTAGATGTCGGACTGCACATTTTGGGGCATTGCGTGTGCATTTCAGCTTGGCAACCAGCTCCGTTTGCTCGTTCGCTGACTTTGTCAAATCTCCGAAAAAATGCTGTGCACGAATCCAGCAGTCTGAGTCCCAGACCTCCTTTTCAAAAGCTTTCGCTGCCCAGCTCACCACCTCCGCCTCGTCCATGTGTCGACCCGTGAGAAGGTCCCTGCCATCCGACGGTCCGATGTTGCGCTTGCTGCCGGGTTACAACCCTATTGGCCTCCCTGTGCCGAGCAACAGAGCTTGAAACTCTTTTTCAGGTCTTGTGGTCGGCATAACACAAGAGGAAGTAGTATGATCAGTACAAGTACGAGTGCAAGCAAGCCTGAACTGTAGCAACGTCCACCCCACCACATCCACAGCTCGTGAATCTACAACAAAACACAAGACTGCTAGTGCCTCAAGGCACAGGATCCACGAGGGCTTGCGTGGTGGGGGAGAAGGGGGAGAGTGAGAGGGGATGACTCATAGTGCTAACCCCCAGAACCGGCCTTCCGTGCGACATTAGAAGAACTCCGAGTCCTGGGACGGGACATTTTATTTCGGTGATGTAGTATATACTTCAATTTTGCCCGGTCCCAGAGGAAGCACAGGGCGTCCTCCATGATGTTTGTGTGCGGCCTTGATGGCGTACTGCGAAAGTTCTCCTCAGGGGTTTTACCATATCTTGAACCGGGAGGCCCTAATCGCGCCCTGCATTCGCCACTCTTCGGACCAGCGGCGGAGCTTCTCCCAAGGAAGATCTGGCGTTGTGGTGGAAAATACCGGCACCAGGGCCGGCAGCTGCCTGAAACGATCTACGCCCAAACAAAAAGGCCCACCATTTCATCGCAGTACATGTGCAGTTACGTGTACAACAACAGCCAAACCAAGGACTTTTGTGGGCTGCGGCTGCATGAAAACGCACCAAATTTGTGCTAGCCGCAGCTCGACCAGGCGCTTCTTCAAAGCAGTCTTGTCCTGACAGAGGCTCTTAAAAGGCTGAATTCCATGTTCCCTGCGCAACTCGCACATCACAAGCGGCAGTAGTAGTAGTAGTAGTAGTAGTAGTAGTAGTAGTAGTAGTAGTAGTAGTAGTAGTAGTAGTAGTGGTAGTGGTAGTGGTAGTGGTAGTGGTAGTAGTAGTAGTAGTAGTAGTAGTCGTAGTGGTAGTGGTAGTGGTAGTCGTAGTAGTAGTAGTAGTAGTCGTCGTAGTCGTAGTCGTAGTCGTAGTCGTAGTCGCAGCAGTAGTAGTAGTAGTAGTAGTAGTAGTAGTAGTAGTAGTAGTAGTATGAGTATGTCCCTGCTATGCTGAGGCTCGGGTCGAAACGTCAGGAAACAGGCCGAGCAGTGCCCTGTGCTTTCCAATGTTCAAGATTCCGCACTCGCCGATGCTCCTGTGCCTGCCAAGCTGTGCCTCAGCTATCCTGACAACCCCGGCTCCCCGATAAAATGCTGCACGGTCCAGAAGCAGTGCAAGGCCCTCTTTGGTAGAGAACTTTCGCAGATCGAAGAGATCCTTGGACTCGCGACTCATGCAGGAACCAGCTTCCAAGGCACTCAAAGTTCAGAAGCTTTAGGCTCCAGACATAAAACCCAGAGCTGGAAGACACATCCGGAGTCAAGTCGAACTCCGGGGCCAAGCTGATGCTCTGTCGGCCGCCATGGAACACCTGGGCAGATGTACAGCGACACTCCTTCAGCAAAAACATACGTGGCCTGTCTCGCTTCGTCGCACCAAGCTTCTGCATCTCGAGGAGATCGATACTCGACGAGACTGTGAGGTTCCTGCAGCTGCATGGAAGCATGGCTTCTCGCAGCTTCGCACTACCGTACTTGCTCAAACGACCGGTGCAAGCAAAGGATCGGCGGGCCACGGCAGCTCCCCGACTTCGGCCGCCGGATCCTGCCGGGAAGTGCCCCCCCCCCAAAGCAACGACGTTCTCTGCCAGGCCCGGTGCCTCGAGGAGCACGACAGGACTCCCCCACCCTGGCCAGGGCCATATGCGCGGCTTTTGTTGTAGCGAAGGGGAGCACTCTGACATGAAGTCTTGTTCGTTGGTAGAGGACGGCCATGCGGATTTTGAAAAACTCTGATCCATAGATTGGATGCTACCAAGGAACTGCGGCCATGGCATATCGCGGTATGTCCACAGGGAAAACATGCACAGTTCCGACATGCTGACACCTCCTCCACATTGATTGCTCTTAAAGGAGGGTGATTAGGTCAGCGGAATCACTACGGATCACTATGGTACCCATCTTCAGTAGAGATAAAAGTTGAAAAGGTCTAAGCCTCTTCGCTGCTGCTCTTCTGCTCTTTCACTGCCTCTTTAAGGCGGGTTGCCCGGAATGGATTACAAACTCGCGTTGTGAAGGGTCAACTGTGCCCCAGGGCTTAGACCTTTTCGACTCTTCTCTACTGACGACTAGTAGCGCTTGCGAATTAGATAGTCTGCTTCGTCTCAAAGCGATTCCAGTGTCCGGTCAGGCCGATTGATTTGCGTGTGGATTGCCGAAATGCTCCGGAAACGGCGCATGCACCAAACTGTGGGCGAAACCCGTGCCATAGATCAGATTCAACTTGCCATCTCACTCTGAAGGCGGATTGTACGCAATGTGTGTCAGCAAAAGCAACCCAATTTGGCCAAGAGGACATGCTCAGACGGCCTAATTTTTCAGAAAAGGAACATGTGCGAACTCGAAGGAACTCAAATTTACCAAACATTTGTAAGAGCACAGATGGGCGCGTACCGATTGTTGAAGAGTTTGCAAAATCACCACACCTATTCAAGCAGTGGGGTGCGGAGGAGGTTCTGAAACTGTTTCCCGCTTTGCCATCCCAGCTTTTGTTCATGGCATTGAAGCCGAGCCGCAGGACAGCGGCACAATAGCACTGTCACTGTTTGCGCTTGTCCGTTTCCGTTTATCCTCACCCTGCATCATGCCGCAGCTCAACTGCGAAACTCTGAGACCGCTGCAAAAATGCAAATCTGGACACGCCTCTTTTCTATAGAGTTGGCCACAAAGGACGCTGTACACCGGGACAAAACCCCTCGCTCCTGACCTTCGCAGCTTGCAACTATAAGGTTTGCAGCTTCCACTCCCCTGTGTCGGCTTGCTTCCCTAAGAAACATCCCTCATGCCCTGCGGATTTCCTCGGGGAAGTGCCCATGTGCCCACAATGCGGAGGCTTTTCGTTTGATCTGCGTTGTCCTTTTGTTTTGCTCTGCTGCTTTCCAGCATGCGGCTACAATTGCAATCCGTGCCAGCATCGTACTTGGAGCCATCTGTTGGGGACTTTTGTTGAGACAAACAGCTCTTGAGCGGAAGCTCGTCCGTGTACTCTTGTCAGTTTGTACATTTGAGTTGTAGCGGTGGCGTCGTTGAACAACTCGTGATTTGGTAAACAACAGATGCTGAAACACCTGCTTCCACGAAACATGCAATGTCTGCGCAAACGAAACTGCCAAGTCATGGCTGGCGTGCTTCCGGCGAGCCGGTGGCCGAAGCGCAGCTCCTGATGCAAGACTCACGTCTCGCACATAGTGAAAGGAAACCAGGCCTCTTCACTTGTCCATCGAAGGGGCATCAAGAGTGACTTGGGCCACAAGCAGACGAAAGCTTCATCGGAGATGACAAGCCTGACAGCCAATCATCACAAAGTGGCCACGATAGAACTCGGCATGAATTTATCAAACTGCTGGCATCGCCATGGAGTTGCAAAGAAGACAGTGCTCATTCGGAGCCGGGGGGCTGAGAGACATGACCTGGCGCCTCCCGGAAAAACTTGAGCTGCAGGAAGGGGCAATTCGGACATGCCTGACATTACACCGGGTGCACATCGCCATCTGTGCCCGAGGACCTGGACCTGCACGGAACCGATCCGGCATTATGAATTTATGTGGAAGTGCGGCAGGCAGACGATCTCAAAGCTGAAGCCGTCAGGCCAAACGGCCAGGATTCCTCCGCATCTCCATGCCAAAGGGCTTAACAGCTATGATCAACTCCCGAAAACCTGAGTACAAATCTTGCAGAGGTGCTCCTGGGTCAGGAAGCAGACCCAACCTTGCAAGAGACGCAGGGCAACTCAGAGCCTTGCTCCAAAAAAAAACTCGAGGCCACGTAGAACAAAAGCGGCGCTGCTTGGCTTCTGGGGCCCTGCTGGGTGGCTGACTCTAAGCGGCCCGGCCTGAGGCTTTCTCAGAGGCAAAGGAGAGCGCTGTTGAAATGCCAACCCTGCCTGTGTACTCTAGTGTGCAATTTTACTGGAGACTCGTATACCTTGCCCTCATCCCGTCAAAGAACACGGCCTGAGTGCCACACAGCAAGACCAGATGTCGCCTCTGGGCAACTCACGACCAGTGGAGACAACAGCATACCATGACTTGCCTTACTTTGTTTACTCGACTCAGATAGCCTTCCCGGCTCTGCTGAGCGCCAATTCCGCGCGTAGGCAGCGGTGGCCTCCGGAGCTTTCCGAACTACACAAGGTCGCCATGGCGTTCTACCATTTCTTGTCAGGTAGGCTCACATCGCTGTCGTTTCGTGGCATTCCATGGTGTAGTAAAGTAGCTTCGCATGGTATCCAGATTTGAAGTGAGCTTGCATGTGACGCAAGGCGGTAGGCCGAAGTGTCAGAAGCTGCAGGCGCAGAAAGACGGATCCGCTAGCGAAGTTGCCGCCTCGCGGTGCTCCCAGGGCCTGGGAGGAAAGCCGGACATCGGGAACACCGGATGCCAAGCTGTTCTGTTCAGCAAGCTGCATGTTCCTGCCCACTGGACTTTTAAGAGGCCTGAGCGCCACGCACCACCAGATCTGGTACTGGGGCAGCATTGCAGCTGCCTGAGAGGCTGGGGCCCACTTCGCGATATGCCAAGCTCCGGCCTGCACTGCTGGCCCAACCTAACCGAACTCGTGTGCCTTTGAATCCGTCGCCATGCTGCGACTCATCTGCCATGAGGCACACGGTGCCGACAAAGGCCACAAAATCGCCTGCAGTCTGAGGCCAGACATGAACAAGGCGCTTGTGCTTCTGGCTTGGCATGGCTTGGCTGCAGGCGGATACCGGCCATGCTCAGACCCAGGACCACCTCCAAGTAGCTCCCACATCGCTAGACATGACTGCGGCAAAATGACACGCCTCCTGCAGCAGCAAGCGCAGCTCATCCTTCGAGGGTTCCGATCGCCACCAGAGCAAGTCCTCTCGGCAGTCAAAAACCAGGACGCGCACCCTCGCCTCCGTTCTGGCTTCGCTCCTGGCTTCCGAAGGGAAACGGCCTGAGCACGGCCCAAGGCCACGTTCACAGGCATTATTTTTCCCTTTCCCTAGCCCTGTTCAAGCTGGCAACCGTTTAAAAGTCCAGAATGTTCACGACAACAGCTGCTTGAGCGTTGATAGCACTGGCTCCTTGCCAGGCATTCAAAATTGGCCTTGCCTTGCCGTGCGGTGCCCTGCAAGAACTGCTCGGCAAGTTGGGCAACATGATTGCCATGCATTCTGCAGATGCTTGATGGCACAACGTTTGCAGAACTGGATATGTCCACATGGCACAAGATCTGGTCCGCATCGCTGTCCAAGCATTCTATGCACTACTGTGTTACGTACCGGTTCGCGAGACAAGCAAGCCTTTGTGGCCTGAAGCGCTGCTAACTCGCTTTCCAAACTGTTCAGCGCCGTATTCAGGCGGATTTCTTCCTGGTCGTGCTGCCTACGAGCTTCTTCGCGTCTGCTTTTCGCATTTCGGAGCCGAAACTCGGGTTCTTCCACAGCTTCGATGTGTCGTTTCAACAGCTTGTCTTTGACGGCCTGGCGGACCTTCATGAGTTCTTCAATGATTGCATCCTCGTCTTTTGCTCCCACCTGGCGCCGTCAGGCTGGGGGCCCTCGGGGACCTGGTCGCACCACCTCGACGCATGAGTCATAGTCCGGCTTTCTGCCGAAGCCGCGGCCCATCCATCCCAATCTTTCCAGTCGTCGTCCCAGCCGCCCCTCCAGCTCCAGGGTCCGGAGTCGTACCAGCCTGAGTGTTCACGGTCCCAGCCCCAGCCTTGGCTGTGCCACCACCCCGAGACTTTCTCCTGTGCTCCTCGAGGCTCCTCCTCCTTCTGCTCGGCTTTTGTCCATTCTTCTTCCATGTCCAGTTTTGTCGGGCCGAGCCATTTCTTGAATTCCTGATAGCCGCCACCGCCTGCCTCGGCCGGGACGGCGTTGCAGGCCAAACGCTCGAGTAAACTCGGAACCGATGACGATAGTGAAAGCCTTACGCACCAGATCTCGGCCAAACTTCTCCTCTGGATCAAGTTTGCAGCATGCTTGGGAAACCTCATTCCACCCGACATGCTTCCAGTTGGCAGTCTTCTTCAAGGCCCAAACCTTCTTCTTGACAGTTAGAACAGCCTTTTCTGCCTTCTTCAGGGTGAGCTGTTCAATGCCGGGTTCGGGCGGCTGCCACGAGCCTGATCCCAAATCCTCAAAAAACCGAGTTGCCACCTCCTTGTTCTTCGCTGTTGCTGCAGGCAATTTGGCCTTGTGTTGAGGATAATAACCTCTTGAGCCCAAATGTAGCGCTGTGACAGCAGCCGGCCTTTTCGATTTCTCGTGCGGGAATTGGAAGGTTTTGGGCGATTAACTACTCGGCGGAATGCTTTATGAAAGGGTATAGGTCTTTGCTGCAAGAGCTTTCCAGATGAGAATTGAGAGTCCGACGCGAAGTTTGCATCGGAAGCACTGCCACGCACGCGATAGGTGCGCGTGATGCCAGGCCTTAAGAATCTTAAGAGTTGCGCCGGCTGCATTGACTGAGCTGGGCAACTCCCAGAGCTGTGGACCAGCCAAGCAGTGACCATGCAGTGGTCAGCAGACACCATTATAAGGTATAAGCTTTGACCAGGCAACGTCGTCGGCGCAAAACTAAGATGATGACTCATCGCTCAACCTGAGAGGGTACATTCTGTACATCGCTACGAGGAGCATTTATACTAAAAAAACACACGCGCGCATCGTCTACGAAGTCTACGACCGTCCAAGCTGCTGATGGTAGCATGCAAGACAACAGAGGCATCGGCATAGACTCGACCTGCACGTCCCACCTCGTTTGCAAAGCCCAAGCAGTGGACAACAGGGCAGTAAAGAAGCGACGAAAACTCTGACGGGAGCCTTTCGAAACATTCAAAACCGAGAAGCCAAATTGACTCGCGAAGGTGTGGGGCAAATCGAGCCTGCCATGACAGCAGCGTTGCTTGGACGTGTCCCGACTCGTTCTCAACAACCGGCCCAGGCCTCGTTTCCGCTTCCCGGAGCTGCGCGTAGTCTCACTGGTGAGGCCAGGTGCACAAGGCGTGGCCTCAAACTCCCTTCTGCATCTTTCTTCTGTGCCCTTTCACATCCTGCCGTCTCTACTCTACAAGCTCCAGAAAAGAGCACAGCTTCAGCGAGGCTTAGTCCGAGAGCCGAGCTGTACCAGAGAATCCCGAAGGCTTGGCCTGAGCTCTCCCAAAGCTCGAAGCGCTTGATTCCTCTCGTCCATATCGAGGCTCCGGCGAGGCCAAACGATGTTCGCTCAATCGCGCCCTGCGATGGCGCAGTGAGAGCCGGGCGGAGCCTGCAAACCGAATCACAGGGACAGAGAGCTTTGGCGCCTGAGCGCCCCGGGCCCTGCAAGCTGAGCACCGCACAGGATGCCAGAACAGCCAAAGCCCCGTGCAGGCCTTAGAACGTCAAGGTCACATCCACCCCTCGCCCTACAGTCTACGTACGATACCAAGGCCTGGGCATAGCACGCCTTTCGGGTGGCCCATGGCCTTGGCTGGAAGACGGTGGTGAAGCTCCAGGCTGAAAGCTCAAGGCCGCGACACTCAGTGCCTGATCCAAGAGATCCTGCGGATATTCCCGTCTTGCACCATGCACTCTAGGGACTTGCGGACTAGGCTTGGGAAACATAGACAGACATGTGAGCACCACTGTACTTGTCATCTCCACTGTCAACGTAGAGAATCGTATAGATGTTCTGTGCGTTTCACACGCACTGTCAACGAACGCGGAAAGCAAACACCATCAAGTCAAGTGGAGAACTCGAAATCTTGTGTCGACATCATTGTGCATTCTTCAACCGGTCCAGGTCGCAGCATGCCCCTGCTGTCGCTGCAGCCTGTCCGGTCAATTGCCATGTCAACCGGCGCTTCTTGTGATTCGCCCTTCGGCTCCAACTGTTGTTGGCATCATGCCTCCACACTGCCCAATCTCACATGTGGAACTAACTGCTGTAAACAATGATCAGAGTAGGAGCCTGGAATGTCTTTTACCTGGTTTCACTACATTTGACGGCCCTGCAACGGCCTCCCCGACCATAGCTTCAGATGAGGTGCCTCGGGGTCGTTTTATGAGCTTTCGGTGAGCAGGTGAAATTGTTTCCGCCTTGTGTTGTCAAGACCGGCTTTACATGTTTCTACGCAGCGACTCAAAGCTGTGCCCGGCACACTTGCAGAGGTTCTGCAGCGCTCTTCTCCAATCGATCGTGGAGGAAGCCCTGGGGCCGTACATGCCGGCCCGGACTTTAAGAGGCTGAGTGAGACCCTGCCACGACGAGCCCATACTCGATCACACCATGCCATCAGCAGCAAATCACGCGCGCGCACATGCTTCTGCATATTTAATTGCCTGTGCCTCTGCAGGTGCCAGGTAAGCATCCGGCCCATCCAAGCGCGAAGGTTCCTGTGAGGGGCAGCTGGCAATGCTGAGGTCCTTGGTCGGCTGCTTCAGGCCATTTGCTTCAGGAACATGGAGTCCGAGAAACTAAGCGGAAGCAGATCTGGGGACCGTGTACTGGGCATGTTGGTAGCTTGCAGCGAGGCGCTTCTGTGTCCGGCCGCCGGTGCTTATAACAGGTGGCCACGTTCGTCGCAAGCCATGAAAATGCTGGGTCTGCGGCGCCAGTACAGGCGGTACCTTGGAAGTCCACCTCAAGGAGCCACGTGCTGCGCCAACAGATTCGAAAGTTGATGAAAGTTGTCTACAGCACGTCACTGGCTTTTCGCTCTCTTTCAAGTTCTGTAGCTTTCGATGACTGATGCGCTCGCCAGGTCCCGCACCAACTGGGCATCTGCCGCCTCCTTGCCAAACACGCGGAACGGCATGGGGCGCCGAGGTCCCAGAAAAACTCGAACCTCCCAGCTGCGTGGTGGGTAAAGTGCCCAAATGAATGCAACACCCCTGCCGAGAGGCTGCATAGCGTCTCAAAGCTGTCCCTGTTGCCAAGGCTGCCTTCCGTCGAAAGCGCAGGAGACGACATCTCAATCCAAGGTGGTGTGCGACGCTGGACCTCGAAGCCCCCCAAACTCGCAAGCCGTTGGCCGAAGGCCCACACGGCACCTGCGCCTGAACGGGTACCCCAAGCCTTTTGACTTTCTGTTCTTTGGGGCGAGCCTCGCCTGAAAGAAGCGATGTAGCCTCAGCCAAGTCCTCGAAGGGAACCTAAGCGAGACATCGCCATGCAGGCCTTGCGAGCCTATGCGAGCTGGGAGGCCAGACTGCTGCCGGGGAGCTAATCCTCGCCAGCCCTCTGTGGAAAATCCGAAGCAATCACCTGCCGGAGTCTGCGCAGGTTCACAGAACAGCGCACCTTCGCCTGCACACAAGAATCACTCAAGCATGGCGGTCTGTGCTTCTTTGACTCCAAATTTCGGGTCTCTCGGATGTCCATGGCCACATTGGTTGTGGAGCATCCTCAGTTCAGCCACCTGTTCTCCACCAGCTTGCGTGCCTGGGAGACCACCAAGCCGACCAGGAAAACGGCGAAGATGAGGCAAATGGCGGTGGCATTCAGGATCTTTCGGTTGTACGCCTCCGTGGAGTCAGGGTCGATGTTCTGTCCTGCCTCAGAGCCCTCACCCCAAGTTGCCATGGCCGGCAAAGCGTTGGTCATGGCAATGCCCGTGGACAGAGCAGCCGTCTCCATGATGCGCAGCTGCTGCTGTGGACCTTCAACGGTTCGGGCAGGTGCCTGCACGAAGGTGCTGGACTTCAGCAGCATCACCAAGGCGACGCACAAGGACAGCGGCAGCAGGATCGGGCGTGCCATTGTGCCACGAGACAGCCAAGATGCGATTGGGCCTTGTGCTACGTGTAAAAACCTTGAGAACATACGCAGCAGCCAACGTGCTAATTCTTCACTCACGCGCTGCCTCTGGCCCGGCTGAGTTGTGTGAGCTCGCGGGTGCTGGCTATAGCAAACACGGACGGGCTGGAATCTAATCAGGACTCGTCTCCTGTGCAAAATCGGCAGAGGCAAACGGCTCAAGGCTTTTTGGAAGGCGCAGCTACTCTCCCCTACAAGTGAAAAAGCAAGCTGCCCTTCAGGAAGCACTGTAAAACTTTATGTCGCATCCTCAGTTCAGCCACCTGTTCTCCACCAGCTTGCGTGCCTGGGAGACCACCAAGCCGACCAGGAAAACGGCGAAGGTGAGGCAAATGGCGGTGGCATTCAGGATCTTTCGGTTGTACGCCTCCGTGGAGTCAGGGTCGATGTTCTGTCCTGCCTCAGAGCCCTCACCCCAAGTTGCCATGGCCGGCAAAGCGTTGGTCATGGCAATGCCCGTGGACAGAGCAGCCGTCTCCATGATGCGCAGCTGCTGCTGTGGACCTTCAACGGTTCGGGCAGGTGCCTGCACGAAGGTGCTGGACTTCAGCAGCATCACCAAGGCGACGCACAAGGACAGCGGCAGCAGGATCGGGCGTGCCATTGTGCCACGAGACAGCCAAGATGCGATTGGGCCTTGTGCTACGTGTAAAAACCTTGAGAACATACGCAGCAGCCAACGTGCTAATTCTTCACTCACGCGCTGCCTCTGGCCCGGCTGAGTTGTGAGAGCTCGCGGGTGCTGGCTATAGCAAACACGGACGGGCTGGAATCTAATCAGGACTCGTCTCCTGTGCAAAATCGGCAGAGGCAAACGGCTCAAGGCTTTTTGGAAGGTGCAGCTACTCTCCCCTACAAGTGAAAAAGCAAGCTGCCCTTCAGGAAGCACTGTAAAACTTTATGTCGCATCCTCAGTTCAGCCACCTGTTCTCCACCAGCTTGCGTGCCTGGGAGACCACCAAGCCGACCAGGAAAACGGCGAAGGTGAGGCAAATGGCGGTGGCATTCAGGATCTTTCGGTTGTACGCCTCCGTGGAGTCAGGGTCGATGTTCTGTCCTGCCTCAGAGCCCTCACCCCAAGTTGCCATGGCCGGCAAAGCGTTGGTCATGGCAATGCCCGTGGACAGAGCAGCCGTCTCCATGATGCGCAGCTGCTGCTGTGGACCTTCAACGGTTCGGGCAGGTGCCTGCACGAAGGTGCTGGACTTCAGCAGCATCACCAAGGCGACGCACAAGGACAGCGGCAGCAGGATCGGGCGCGCCATTGTGCCACGAGACAGCCAAGATGCGATTGGGCCTTGTGCTACGTGTAAAAACCTTGAGAACATACGCAGCAGCCAACGTGCTAATTCTTCACTCACGCGCTGCCTCTGGCCCGGCTGAGTTGTGTGAGCTCGCTGGTGCTGGCTATAGCAAACACGGACGGGCTGGAATCTAATCAGGACTCGTCTCCTGTGCAAAATCGGCAGAGGCAAACGGCTCAAGGCTTTTTGGAAGGTGCAGCTACTCTCCCCTACAAGTGAAAAAGCAAGCTGCCCTTCAGGAAGCACTATAAAACTCTATGTCGCATCCTCAGTTCAGCCACCTGTTCTCCACCAGCTTACGTGCCTGGGAGACCACCAAGCCGACCAGGAAAACGGCGAAGGTGAGGCAAATGGCGGTGGCATTCAGGATCTTTCGGTTGTACGCCTCCGTGGAGTCAGGGTCGATGTTCTGTCCTGCCTCAGAGCCCTCACCCCAAGTTGCCATGGCCGGCAAAGCGTTGGTCATGGCAATGCCCGTGGACAGAGCAGCCGTCTCCATGATGCGCAGCTGCTGCTGTGGACCTTCAACGGTTCGGGCAGGTGCCTGCACGAAGGTGCTGGACTTCAGCAGCATCACCAAGGCGACGCACAAGGACAGCGGCAGCAGGATCGGGCGCGCCATTGTGCCACGAGACAGCCAGGAGACTGCTGAACAGAAGCTCAAGATAACTAGAAGCTTCGGCCAAAACCCCTGCAGCAGCACCAGATGTCTCTAGAGTTGGCTGGTGTGACTATCTGGCAAGAATGGCGCGTGAAAAAAACTTATTAAAGCAATCTCTGCCTGCAATCATTGCCAGGGACTCACCCGACAGGTCCACTTGCAGAGTGCTCCCCAGGTCATGAGGAGAGATCCTGAGGTGAGGGATGACTCTAAGTAACAAAACAAACGTGCCACATGCAGCAGCAGCTGTCAGTCAAACCGCCAAACCTGTGCTGCTGATCTGCCGATCTCGCAGCAACTCATTGAAAAGCGTTCTCGTCTCTGAGGCTGCGACACGGCCGGTGATTGTGCCACTAGGCGCCACGGTGGACGAGATCCTTTACAGCAATCGCGAGTGGCTAGCTGCCATGAAACTAGCTGGCTGCAAAAATGGCACGGCTCACACCTGCTTCTGTCTTGAAGGATTGGAACCTTTAAATTGATTTAAATTTGAATGCACCGGGCTCGAGACATCAGAGGGCATGCTGTGGCTAATCCGCCGAGGCCACAGGCCCAGGCGTTGTGGTGGTTACCTCAGGTACCCTCCACCTAATCCTCCTCCCTGCAGCCCAAATGTTTGGTGACACCCTGTTTTTGCGCTCGTTTGCCACCCCCTTGCCCGGCCTCCCCTCATTTTCTTTGATTTGCGGGCCTACCCGCCCCCCTCCCAGGCCTCCTCCCCCCTCTTTTTTCCTCCACCCCCCTTCTTCTCCCTCTGTCTTTCTTTTCAGGCTCTTTCTGTGTTGTTTTTTCTTGCCCCCCTCCCAAGCCTCCCTTCCCTCATTTTACCTGATTTCCCCCTCCTCCCTCCCCCCCTTCACCCCCCCCCCCCCCCCCCTCCCCCCCTCCCTCCCCCCCCTCCCTCCCCCTGTGCCCGTTTTCCTGGCACTTCGTATCAACAACCGTGTAAAGCTTGGGGTTTGACAGGCCGCCCTAGCATAAAAAAACATCGACTGCCCCCTCGCCCTGCCGCTACACAGCCGAGGCGGGCGGCGTAGCGTTAAAATTAGCAGCTAACAGACTTCCTTCGGAGACTGCATCACCAATGAGCAAATGGTCTATGTGCCAGTGCCAGAGCCTCGGCCTTCTTGTGTGTTGCACATTGTTGCACTGTCTTGCTCGCCGGAAACTGCGCACAGCAAAAACGGCACTCGTGCGGCCCAAAGGCTATCTGGAATGGGCGCGGGCTTTCGCAGGCCCTGCCGCCAAACCTCAAGCAGCGATGATCAACTTCTCAGGCGAAACTTTCCCAGCATGACCGAACCGCTGCAAGCGAGGTTGCCTGGAGCCAAAGAGGTGGAGACCCTGTGGCCTGCCATGTTGTGAAACCATGCAGCACTTCAGTGGCAAATGATGCGAAAACCTTAAGCCTCAGCCAACTTAGCCTCCAAGCTGATGCAAGCTGTTTCGAGATCCAATGCAATTGCAAGACACTGTGTTGCTGTTGGTCAGGGCTTGCTGGCAATACCAGGACTATGGCAGGAGTGCTGGAAACAATGACAAAGCAATCCCATGTATGCGGTGTCATGCTCGTTCAAGAATTATTGCTGTGCCAGAAAACTGGGTTCGTGGATGCCTTGGAAGCCCGCTCCACAGCATCCGCTGTCCACTCTACCTGCCCAGCTGTTTTTGCGCAGTATTGGTTGTTTTTGCGCAGTATTGGTTGGACATGCTCGGGAAGTCGCACAAGGTGGAACTGCCTTGCCAAGTGTTTCGATTGGGGGCACAGCGGCTGAGCAATACCCTTGGAATAGGGTTCTGCAATCGGTTGGCCATGCATGTGGCCTCCGCACGAGCATCAAGAAAAATTTCCACCGCTTCCACCTGTCCTGGGCAGTGGGGGCAGTTGATCGTGCTGTTTTACCATGTGTTTGGTGAACGCCGCCTGCCACGGCTGTGCAGAGCTGAAAGTCGACAACAGTCAGGTGAGAGACCTGGTTCCATGTCTGTATCGCATTCATTCACAAAGCCGGCAAAAGGGGGATGTCATTTCGTCAGGTGTCGGGAACAGGACATGCTCCGGACTGGGTTGCGCGTGATTATCACTTGTGCCAGTGTCTGCAAGTCGTAGGTAGCAGGACGTAATTATATACAGCAGCTGTAGTTGTGGCAGGGTTGGCAGTGGTGGTAGTAGTAGTAGTAGTAGTAGTAGTAGTAGTAGTAGGAGGCGACAGCCTGCTCCTGTGACCCCCCTCGCGCCTCTTTTGTCACATGCGGTATCCGTTTCAGCGCATCTGTCTCTGGGCCAATGCACATTGCTTTGTTGCCCGGCTTGTTCCTATTACATAAAGCTTTCTTCTTACGTCGGGTTTTCCGGTTAGATAGGGTCTTATCACTAGATAGAGTTGTCCTGTTAGAAAGGCTTTTACTATTAGGTAGGGATTTACTGTGAGATAGGATTTTACTATTAGATATGGTTTTACTATTGGATAGGGTCTTCCTATTAGTTAGGGTTTTAATGTTAGATACGGTTTTCCTAGTAGACAGGGGCTTACTATTAGATTGGGTTTTCCTCTGACACAATGGTGAAAGGAGTTCTCCTTTAAAATGGCTTGGCCTGGCTTGTTTGGCTTGGCTTTGGTAGTCGTCCCGCTTACCCTCTAAAGTAGCAGTAGCTTCTAGTAGATACAGGGGTAGTTACAGTAGCAGAAATAGCAGTCGTCGGAGTAGTATATAGTTAGGAGTACTAGTAGTCGTGGTCGTCCTCTTCGTAGCGGTAGTGGTAGCAGGGTAGTGGTAGTAGTAGCAGGAGTTGTGGTTGTTGTCGTCAGGGAAGTCGATGGTAGTAGGAGCGACAGTAGGTAGGAGGACGGGAAGCAGCAGCAACAGAAGTTGACAGTGAGGAAACAGTGAATGATAAACAGCAGATGGAGACTTGGGAAAGGACACGCCAACATCGCGCTAACGGTTTTGTAGTACGACAGGGCGCTCTACTTGTGGTAATTACAGACTGCTGCAGAGAGGCGCTGTCTGTATTTGGTAACCGAGTGGGCGTGGCTCCGAGCCATACTTCGCCTGCAACGGCAACTGAGCAGAACGCAAATATCCCGGCAGTCAGTGCAAATTGAACAGGGGACTTTCAAACCTCTGTATAAATGCATGCGAGACTATGGCGCGCACACATACACATGCATGACCATGCATGCGTGTGCACATATGCATGCATTTCATGCATACGGGCGTATATACAGACGATAATCATAATCAAAAACACATAAACACCTACTTACCTGCCCGTCTCTGAGCTACATACAGGTGCGGGACACTGACATATTACGTGTGAACATATGGGTCGCAATGACAGGTATTGGTGAAGATCCACCCACACACCTTTGGAACTTCCGACTGGCAAATTTGCAAGGCATCGACATCGCTGATAACCGCTGACAGCCTGTATTTCTAAGACTGCACTTCGGCCAGCGCTGAGCAGTGACAACGCAGTGCCGTTCCTCGGGCGGTGTTGAAGAACCACGGGAAGGTTGCCCACAGCGCGATGCTGCAGCCTAACAGCATGCTGAATCGGTAAGGCCAGCCATCGCTGCAACAGGTTGCAGGCCATGCTCTTTCTTTAGCTAAATGAGTGAGATTTTCAAGCACAGCGGCACACCGCACTCAGTTCTCTTGACACTTCTTTAGCGAGGGGTTTCGATGTATGCAGCTGCATGCTGGGCTTTCTCCGAGTTTCGTAGAGATCTTCCTAGTCAGTTCTGAGAGCCGTTTTCCCAGCGGGCATGCCTGCTTTTCCAAGTTGCTCAACCTGCATTCTGCAAACGGCCAGTTCCAGCGAGCTCAGACCTGAGAACATATCGGTTTTCCTGTCGGCGTAGCGCACGCGCCTTGAGCGATCCCTGAACTACACATACACAGTCTGAAAATCTACAAAGACGAAGGCAAAGACGGCACGCCCCAGTCTAGCTTTGAATGGTGCATCAACAACTAGTATACTACAAATACTTTGGCCCTTTCAACCCAATTGCAGACTGATGCCTTCCTCCGTTAGAGCTTCCCTGGTGCTGAGCAGCATGCACGGCACCGCATGTTGTTGCATCTCCCGTGCCACAGTGAAGGATCAGCTGCCAGTAACCAGGCGAAGCACTGCGAATTCGGCTAGAAAGCCAGAACTGGAAGCATTAAGCCCTTCGGGCAACCTTCAGTGACTTCCTTGGCCCAAAGCTGTGGAATGCATTGCATGCATTATGATGCAACAAGTGGCAACAGCTCTGCTCTGCCGGCTATGGTCTAAGAATTTGCTGCAGATTGCAACGGCTGGGCAAGGTTTGACTTCCGGCATCATTCAACGCACGCCCATCAAAGACACCTTCACCGGAGCACCTGCACATGATTTATCTTCATTCCCACGGCCTGCCTGCAGTCCCAAAGCAAATGCTGCGCACCTCCACAAGGCGACACTACCTCGCGCCGCTGTGTGTGCGGCTGCGGTTGTCCTGCATAAACGATTCAGGGCAGGGGTTGCAGGTATGAACAGGCGTATGTGTAATATGTTAAAATATGCAAAATCTGCGCTAGGAGCCGGTGAAAGTCAGGTTGACCCCTGTCCAACCCTGTCAGCCTGCGTCAATTAGTGAACTGCGCGCTTCGTATGCGGCCCCGGAGCTACTAGTAGAGACTTGGTGCAGGCTCCTGCCGCCAAGGGTGCAGTCCGAGCCCCGAGCGCGGGCAGCAGCTTGTAAGCGCACTTTTCTTTGATTAGTCTCGCCCTTATGGCCGCTTGGCAGCTAATAGGTAATGCCGAAACCGTCAAGGTTGTCCACACTACAGTTGGTTAACAACAAAGAAGGCAGACAGTGCCATTTGACTCCCGCACATTGGAAACCGATTGCAGTGTGGAAAAAAATGATTGGGCTTCCGACCGAATGTGGAAACACGGCGAAGATGAGAAGTGACAGTGTGTGGTAGCGGGACACCTAGCTGATGTGACTTGCAGTTTCCAGTCTTGTCATCTGGAGTTCAGCAAGAGCCCAGAAAACTATGGCAACAAATTGCGCGTGCTGGCACCTCTGAAAGGATGCTAGAAGCGCTCAGCATAGTCTCATTAAATTCGAGACCTTCACAATGACGAATTCATAACTTTCCAATCGAAGGTGGAACCGAGAGAGGAAGCGGGCCCAAAGGACCTTGGACTTGCTGTGTCTTGCAAGGAGTTGGTGGCAGATCGACCGCTTCGCAGACTTCGTGAAGAATTGGTGTTGGCGCATCTGCCTGATCTAGTTTCATCTAGTTTAGTATCTATTTAGTATCTAGTTGTCTCATTTGCAGGACTTGACTCGACGAAATTCGTGACAGAAGTCCTTTGAAGTGTCGCTCAGTGGAGCGGCTTCATCTCATGGTTTGCCAGCAATTTGCCAGCTTCTCAGACACATGCAAAAACTTACTGCGACCACCATGTGCGGCAACCGCTTCCATCGGCGGTACAACTTACTCTGCGCAGATCTCGATTGGTGGCTCCGACTCACTGCGCACCATGGCACGGCTACCTTTCGGGGCTGTCAGAAGCAGTGAGGCATCATGCAGCATTAGGTCCAACCGAGCTTATCTGCTGCGAAACAACGAAGTCAAGTGCATCATCACGAACTTAGCTTTGCAGTAGGCGACTTGATGTCGTAAGCAGTCTTGTCGAATGTGGTCTTAAAACTTCACATTACCGTGCACGTAGCCGAGGCAGAAGCCAGAAGACGTCCGAACTTGCTCACTCATAGCGAGCTTCACGGGCTGACACGACAGACTTTGGCCCAGGTGCGAACTTGGGAGCGTGTAGCTGTTGCACTTTCGGCGTAAACCTGCTCAGCTCATGCATTGCCGACTTCCAGGGTTTCGACTGCGTTCAGACCATGTAACTCGGAACACTGTAAGATACCGCAAAGTCTCCATCCATTGGTTACATTTGGTTACCACATGCTGGGAAATGCTGGGAAGACCTCTTGGACAATGCCAGTGAGCATGGCGTCGGGAACCTGACAAGCAGGAGGCGGCTTTTCGGGTGTATGCCAAACGAGCAACAAGTCTACAGCAACAGGAAGATCATGAACACCTCGAACAAATTCCGTTCTGTCCTGCCTTGCAGGCAACATCCTGTTGAAACTAACGCAGCACAAGCCCTGCTCACTGCTTGTCGCGCTTGTCTTGCCTTTTTCGGTTGCTGCGTGCCACGTCGCAGAGCCTCCAGGCATTGCCCACCCGGTTCGGTGCTCAATGACGCACTGTAGATTGTCTCTCTCACTATGCGCGTGTCCGTGCATGGCTTGTTCCTGGTCGGGGTGGCCTGGCGCGCGCCCCGGGCAACAGCCTGGGACAGCGACTTGGCGGCATCCAGCCTTCCAGCATTTTGATTATAGAAGAATGAAGCATGCAGCTTGCTCAGTATGCTCAGTCGATCGATGCATCTTACACTACCTTACCAACAACGGATCCAGGTCGGGAGGAGCGAGTTGACGCCACCATCATCAGGATGTGGCGACTTCTCGGCCCGTGTGATGCAAACTTCGTGTGTAAACTGCTCAAGTACGCCCCATGCACCAACATCACGATAAACTCTCAAAGGAGCCATACTTGGAGTCCATATGAATTGCACACCGTGCTGCGCGCTGGCTTTCACCACAACGAGGCGGCCTGAGCCAGAGTCTAAAGCAGGGTCCGGCAAAGGACGAGAAAGCCTCATGGCCTTTAGCGGGTATAACATTTCCAGGCATACCGCTCTCGGTTTCAATGGACCTAAACTGAAATCGATTTGCCGTCTCTCTTTCTCTCTGCCGTGCCATCCTGGATGGTCTCGCTACGCACGGGCGCTTCATGCCAGACTAGAGAACCAGGAAGCACTACACGAACGAAGAACCTCCTTCATTCGTCGAGCACACCCAACTGGACAGGAACTGACCTCAACCAAATCCGCACATGCAGATATCTAGCCAAGAGTCGATTCAGCAAGGTGTTGGTGGCCGGACCGCGGCTTTCCTGCGTCACCTGGAAGACTGCAAAGATGCTGCTTTGTTTGCTTCTCTTCAGGTGCCCCTCCGAAAGCTTGCCTGTGAAGGCTCGGGGTTCAGGTCCTCAGCACCTGCGCAGCTCTTGGACTGTCTCGCGTCGCAGAGGCATGCCGAGGCCGCACCAAGCCAGTGTTGCGATGACGTCAATGCGCCTGCGTAGGCCGAAGGCATCGGGCGCCTGTTTCCAGCACAGACTTTAAGCAGGGTCTCTGCAGCCTGCTCAGAGTTCCCGGAGCTGCTGTTTCAGGCGCATGAGTAGAATCGCAAGTGCTTCTTGCAGAGCTGTTCACTTCGGCACTGCTCTGCTGAAATTCTGTGTTAGTAGATGTCTGAAATCGGTCAACTCTGTCACATCATATCCTTGCAGTCCTTTCCACCTCTTTATTCAGCCTCGCTGTTTTGCACACTCTGACCCGGTCCTGGACAACAGCCGCTGGCAGTCCCCTGCGATGCGTGGTGTCCGAACCTGCGTCCTCACATCGCGCACTCACAGACAGGATCGTCAAGAGGAATCTTTGCACCCTTGGGCCCTTGGGCCCACTGTGGCACATTCGGACGAAGTGGCCGTGGCTGGGGATCTTTCCGGGCTGAGGCGCTGCGCAGTCCTTATCGTCGGAGAACAATGAGCACAACAAAAAAGATCAACGATGCGGTCAGCCGCTCAGCTCAAACTCAAGCTGAAGTGGCCTGCGCTCGATGGCCGAAGCGGCGGCAAAGGCTCCTCGTCTGCCAGAGCTGTGATGATTTGGCCAGCAGCTACTATGACGTCACTATGACTTCTGGATCTCCGGTTACGCCCAACATCACCAAACTCTTGTCCAGCCTCTGGCGGTGCGGCGGCACAAAGGACTGGCGCGAAATGTGCACATACCAGTAGGATGATGATACACGGCATGTTGATGTCAGACGCATCAACTGTCACCAGGAAGGCAGGGACAGTCTGACTGTTCCACCGGCTCAAACCATGGAGACACGTTGCGAAACTAGGCCATCACGTGCTCATGCTGATTGCATGCGCTTCTCTGAAAGCGTCCCTCTCTGTCCGTGGTGCCGCGACCTGGCAACGGTGCATCGGCATTGCGCCGCAACTCCTGGAGCCTTCGAAACCTCAAGCAAAGAGGAGTCAAGCCAGCACACTCCTCTCGCGAAGTCTGAACTCCACTCTGCATCCATTTCGCCAATGCCGAAGCTGAGGCTCCAACGGTGCCACGGTGCCAGGCAATTGAGCAGGGCTGCCCTAGCGACAGCTGTAACGACCGTCCATAACTGTCCATCCTTTGTCACATGCATATCTATGTTACGCTTTCGGGTTTGCTGCTCAGCAGACGGGAGGTGTGGTCGGCTGCCGTGTACTTAGCTGGCTCCGCAAGTTAAGTCATGTCCCTATGTGAGATTTGGGACACTGTCACCAGTCAGTGCACCTCGTCCGGAGCTTTCTCAAGGGACGGGTAGGCGGTGTCACCCTGAGGTGCAGCTGCCTGCATCGCTTGCAATGCCAGGTTCCTGCTGCTGAGGTGGGAGTGCTTTCGTGCTACAGTGCAATGCAATGGAGCAATCTGAAGCCCTGAGCTTCCTTATCACCCTCGGCACAGCCCCAGCTTTCAAATCCGAGCCCCAGGCTTCCGGAGCTCTCTTCCGCGGGGGGGCTGATGATGGCCGCGAAATCTTCGCCTTCTCCGACTCCTTGAGGGAGCAAGCCAATATATATATATATATATATATATATATACACGCCTACGCTGCATTCTTGCCTTGGACCTTTGGGCCGGATTCCTCGAGCAGGGATTCGAGGGTCTGGTGCAAAGGCTGCATGAACAGGACGTCGCTCGCCTTTGTGAGTGGACCGGAGAATCCGCCAGAAACTTCTCTAACCTTACGAAACCAAGTCGCTGAGGGCCTCTTGTTCCGATTGTGCGACCTGAGCACATGCACGTCATCTTCAAGGCAAGGAGGCTCTCGACTGTTTGCACATGTGTACACCAAGAAGGCTGCAAGACGGCTGCATAGACCTTGGCCAGCTCGGCCGAATACGTGATCGGAAACCGTGGGGCAGCTTTCCTTCAAGGCTTGCTTCCACAGTGTCACGCCCGGGCTTCTGAAAGCAGAGGTGCTGAACCAGCAGTTTTGTCTCCAAAACCCTTCAGCATCCTTCAGCCTACGCTTTGATTCTGAAGCCTGACCAGCTCTCCTCGTGATCTCAGCCATGAGCTCATCCAGAGTGTCACCCTGGAACTAAATGTGCACATTTATCGGATCTATGCCGATCTTTGGTTCAGCAACGGCACATGGTATGGCAGCTTTAGGGCTGACAGCTCGTAGAGCACCTGGCTTCGCCAGGAATCGGGGGAAGAGCCAGCAAGCTGCACAGAAATCAGCCGGGCCAACGCAGCCCATGGCCCACACATCCCCGGCGAACGAGTGAAGTCCCATGGAGCATGTCTCGGGGCTCATGTAGTAGGGGGTTCCGACCTTGACACGACGATACTTGCCCGCCTCGTTCGACTGCACAACGGAAATTCTCTCAGCACCCCGCCACGTTGCTTTCCAGCACAGCCTAGCAACATGGACCCGTTCCCGACATAAATCCATTCCAACAGCTTTCGACAAGGATTTCAAGCCTTGTTGGGTGGCTTGACTGCGCAAGCAATTCCAAAGTCTCCAATGCGAAGTCGATCCTGGCAGGGCGTCGCAATGAGTACTGCGACGTCGCTCAGCCGCCTCCCTGCGAGTCATCGCAGATAGAGCTATGCTCAACTGGACACCGACCGGGGAAAGCCCGCTGATTCATTTGATGAACCGCTCGCCGGCAACGAACCGACAACCCAGGCATGACGAAACAAGGATGTCCTCGTTCTCGAGAAAGAGATTTTCCTTGTGCGTTCATGCAACCCCACCCGACAGATATCTCACAACAGATTCGAAGGCAAAGGCTTCCAGCCGAACTGGAGGGTTCTCCACTTACACATCCCTCACACAAACGCGCACACACACTCACACAAACACAAGCAGAGACAGACACAAAGCGAGCGACAGAGCGAGAGAGATAGATAGAGAGAGAGAGAGAGAAACTTGTATGCAGGGACCATGACCACACAATGGAGGGACCTTCCATGGATATGTTAATTGCTTGGTGGGTGCGATTAACGACGATGTTGTCCTGCTCTGGCAGTATCGGAAGAGTGCAGTGTACAGAGGGTTGAGAGGAAAAGTAGAAACACAAACAAGGCTAGTTAAGTTGTCAGTGCCAGCCCTGTCTTGGATACCCAGAGATAGTGCGGCTGGCAATTGCTCTGATTCAGCTGAAAGAGATCCCTCCAATGCTGTACCTTACTGCAGACAGGCAACACTTTTGAGGTCTCGGTGCAAGATGTTCATGCCTTGATTCAGCAAGTGCAGAACAGTCAAACAGTCAAACAAGTTTGGCATGCTTGGCCAGAGGCTGTGTATATGTCGCAGGCCCACCAAAGCTTGCGTGATCCACCTTGCTCGTCAAGGGCTAGCGGCTAGTGGCTCACAGCCAGCCCGAAGAACTCAAAGACGGCTCCCCCGAAACGCGAGCAGGTGAACTCTCTTTTCTTGCTGTCTCCTGCACTTCTTTGAGCCTGGCTTTTGCAGCGCGCTTCCGCTCCAAATCCTCCTTCTCAATCCGGCCCAGGGCTTCCTCCCTGGCCTTTTGCAGCTGATGCCTAGGGAAAGAGGGCAGTCCCTGGAAGCTGGCCTTCATGAGCTCGTTGTGCTCAACGAGGCTCCTTGGCCAGCGCTTGGCCTGTTGCATGATGGCATCAAAGCCGTCGCTCTTGAGCACATCCTGCTCGATCTGCTTGAAAATGCCGATGGACACGCGGAAGAGAACCTTGAAGCCCTCGAAAAAAAGCGTGTCCCATACTCGCAGAACCGTCGACACAGGCAAGCTTTTTGCGAACCATGTGATGTACCACTCGGAAGAGATGGAGAGGAGATCCACGTTAAATTGATTCAAAGTCCTGGAAACCTTGGCGCACTTGGCCTGCATGCAGGAAGCTAACACCTGCATGTCAGCGCGCAGGAGTGTCATTCCTTCCGTGTAATAGCCTTCCACGCCAAGTGCGTCGAAAGCACAAACAAACATCCAAAAGGCGCGCTCTTCATCTTGCGAGACTATCAAGAGGAGGGCGGCGATGAAGTTCATTCCTTGACCTTGGACTTGGTTAGTCAATGGCTGTTGACCTGGAGCTGCTGACCAGCAGGGTTCTAGCATGCACCTTTAGGAGCAATAAACCAACACCGCGAGACAGTAGCGCACGGCTGGACAGCGCCGGGAAAATGCCCGCAGCACGTTTCGAAGCTCTGCCCTGCCTGTGGCCAGGTGACATGCGATCGTGGACAAGACAAGAAATGCCACTGGCGAACCGGAAAAAGGGACTCGGAACAAGTCAGCCCGACTCTGTGCCTGCCGCGCAACGGAATTTTTGATGGTTAGGAAACGTCCGGGGAAGGTCGCCTGAGATGCTTATGGCAAAAGCCTAGGCATACTCTTGCAGGCACAAGGGCATCCCATGCAGGCCTATGAATCGCCGCGTAGGGTCCATGATGATTCCGCTCCATCTCCAATGCTTCACGGTTTACACAAGCTTCGAGAAATATCTCATCTCTGTTGAAGGTTTCCAGAGGCATCGTTTTCTAGAAGGGAGCTCATGTGCCACAACAAGGCTTGTGCACAGCAAGTCGCGCTCGATGGTCTCGGCAGTGGCGCTGTCCACGGGCTCTTCAAGATACTGCCTTGAGGGTGCCATCTGAGCATCTTCACGACAGACGTGTGTATACATGACTTGCTTGCATGTGTACCTTACTTTAGTCCAAGACAATCTACGTAACTACCGGACCTCAGCTAAGCCTAGGTTCAATGAAGCACTGCAACGCAAGAACCTGAGTCAGGGACTGGAAGGACACTGGCGATCGAAGGCGCTCCGCTTCACAGCCAAGGATGCTCCACCAAAGCCTTCATCAATGCATCTGCGATCGTATTACACGACCGAAAGCATGGCAAGTTCCACTGACCAAGCCCTCCCGCAACGCAGATTCTGAAACATCCAGGCTGCTCTGGCCGGTGCTCGTGGGGCACACCCTTTCGCAACAACGCCTGGCTCGGGCAGTTCCGGGGTTGTCGCTGGATGAGTTCTATGCAAATGCAGTCTTATCATGTCTTGTTGGAACTTGTTTATGTGTATGTTTGTTTGTTCAGCTCCACAAAGCTCCAGCGAATCATTGGATCTGTCCACGCATGAATTTCTCCATCCGGGCTACCTGAGCTAAAGCTGCTTTGCTAGCGCCTTGAGCGTGTTCTTCGGTAGGCTGCTCCAGTCGCCCGATGCCGGAAGCTTCCTCAGATCGGATTTGGCGATGTTCTTGCAGGTTGGTACTTCGGAAAACCCAGGTGCAGTCGCGTCCTAGGCCCCAGCAAACAATTGCCCCGAGACAGTACATCGAGTCTCTTGCGCAACTGCATGCGCTGTGATCAAGAACAGAAAGTCATGGAAGGGAAGTCTGGCAACCAGAAACTTGGAACACTTCGTGAACGCGCTTCAACTTGAAGAGGCTGGCTGCATAACGACGGCAAGATCAGGACAAGTTGTCAGAGCCAGGGCTCTCTCTTCGGGATTCCAACCGCCTCAGTCTTCTCACGGCTTTCGTCTGAAACCTTGGCGGGCAGAAAAGAAGGACGAGATGCAATGATCTGGGCTCACTTTTTGTGCTACGTAAATCAATGACTGATGCAGGCGCAGAACCATTCCGCATAGCTCTTGGCCGAATCTGCCACGGCATCGCCTTCTGGAGATGCTGCAAAGCCCAGCATGTCGAATTCGTCACCCTGGAACATGGCGGATCTCTCCTCAGCCCGTTCTGCCCGTCTGCTGCCATGCCACGGTTGTAGAGTGAGTGTATACGAGATGAAGTTAGGTCCGAAGGATGACAAACACACAAAAAACGTCAAGCTCACATCGAACTGAGGCTCAAGGCCCTCCTCTTCGGAAAGGTCTTCACTGTCTATGGGGCGGGCTGGGCGGGGAGGTGGATGTCGCAATGAAGGCGGCATGGCTTCGAGCGGATGAGAAATGGTAACTCACGCTGCTGTTCGACGAATTGATGCTGAGTCTGACGCCCAATCCTCCCATCCACGCTCTCCAAACTTCAAATCTCGTACAGTCCCTGCAGCAGAGCGGAGTCACCAAAGCATCAAAAGCTTCTAAGACGGCATTTGCGTCTGAGGCATGCAGAGCCAGAGCAGCTGAGCGAGAGGCCTGGCTGGGTCCAAGGGCAAGGGTTTCTTTTCTTTCTTGTGCGGTGGCCGCAGGCCACAGGCATCCACAGGCCGTGGGCCGCAGGTCCCTAAAAGCAGTGGGGGGGCGCGAAAGGCGCGAAACCCTAAACCCTAAAAGAAGTGAGTGGCTGCGAAACCCCAAATTAAATCCGTGCGAAACCCTGACCCCTAGTGCACGAGTGGGCGTGAAACCCTGAACCCCAAAAGGTCGTGGCTACGAAGGGTGCGAAACCCTGTACCCTAGAAGGAGTGGGTGCGTGCGAAACCCCAAACCCTAAAAGGAGTGGGTGGGTCCAAAACCCCAAACTCCAAAATGCGACCTTCATACCCTCAAAGGACTGGGTAAGTGTGCAACGCGAGACCCTGAACCCTAAAAGGAGTGAGTGGCCGCGAAACCCCAAACCCACGTGGCCGCGTGCCCCGTGGCCGTGGGGCACGGGCAAATCGTACTATTGGTCCAAACCGTCACGCTGTGTGCTGTCTTTTGTGTTCTGCATTCTACAGTACCATTTATCGGTCCTTGCACCAGGGAGTGCTCAAGGCTGGACAAAGGAATCGTAGATTAATCAATCTGGTCGAGCCAACAGCTGACAATCTAGCACAGACGCTTCGAAGTAGAAAACCCTGAACCCGTAGAATCCTTAAATCACATCTGCCACGGCACCGCAAGATCTTCGGCTCACGAAAACTGCACTCTCGCCGACGTGCATCTTTCACCTGCGGCTGCCACTATGATAGGTGCAAAGGCACGATTCACTTTACTGTGTCTCCGTGTCTGTGGAGCAAACTCAGCCCAGCATGTCCCCCCCCCTCCACTCCATTCTCGATCAGGTGTATTCGATATAGGAGGGTGGACTCCCATCTTTCCATCAAGCTTCGTCGGGAAACATAATTACCCTTCATCATGTCTGCCAAGAACAATTGAATCCACCTTGCTTGTTTGCTTGCATGCCTGCCTGCTTGCTTTCTGCGGGTTGAGGGGGAAGCTCCGATCCTCATCGTTCAACGCTCCCTCAAGCTGTCCCTGCCTTGTGTCTTCTTGACATACAGAAAGACGGCCAGACACACTCGCTCTTCTTCTCCCACTTATTAAGTGTAAGTGTGTTTGTGTGTGCGTGTCTCTCTTCCTTCGTCCTCTCACTCACTTACTCACTCGCGCACTCACTCATGCTCTCCCTTTCGCTTGCCGCAGGTGCAAGGAGCGGCACGCATCGGCACGCCCCTCCCCCTGATGCCCGCATCGACTCTCTTTAACTATAGCTGCACGACTGGCTGTCTGAATATCCAATGATTTGAAACGACATCCTCGCCCCTCCCCCGACCTGCTTGCGCAGATCTCCAGACCCTGCATACTCCATCACCTTGGGCGCAAGAGCAACACACCCACATCGGCTGCACTGCCAATCCAAAAGACCTTCGGCGGCGTTCACCTGACAGTCTGCTTGCCGACAGCCAATGCTTCGAGTCACGATGATAAGGGCTGTGTCCTCTGCAAAGGTCTCATGAATCCGCACCTGAAAAAGTGCAACTGACAACGAGCTTGCATGTTCGAGAAGCACTGCAGCACAGTTTAGACAAGATTCAATGTAAGGATGCTTCAGCTTCTCCATGATTTCCGCCTCTCATGCATGCGATTCTGGCATTACAGGCCCACCTAGTAATATGGAGGCTGTCCTGATAAATGCATATGCATACATCCACCCTGGGAAAGAGATCATACTGCCGATCACCTTCTAGCATGTGCTGTCCGCGCACACCCGACTCCTGATTCGCGGTGCCTCTTTGGGAGCTTCGCGCTTCCTGCGTTCGGATGAACACCTTAGCAGGACATTCGGAATGATGACAACAAGAGTAGATTATGTTCTGAGACACAACTCAGGCTCCCGCTCTAGGTCAATGACTTTCAAGACCTGACAATTAAGTCTAGGCTATTCTGTGCGGTTCCGAAGCGCACTTCCGAATGCTGCCTTCCTTCGGCCGCGTGGATCACGAGCCAGGATTGCACACCTGCACCGCTCCAAGGAGCATACAGGCGCATACAAGCAGAAGCTAATGCAAGTCCCGAAACTCGGCTCTGATAATCACGAGTATTCCTTCGTTTGTACAAGGAGGCCGTTCTCTGTTTGCACATTGGAAACGAAGATCGAACCCTTTGTTTATCTTGGCCCACCCGAAGCTCCCTCGGCCAATGATCTCCAGCGCTTCGTATCCACGCGATGAGCCGACAGACCTGCAGCCGCCGCCCCCGGCCAGCAAAGCGCCGAACAAGCTGGAAAGCTCACGATCGAAGCAACTGCCACCGGCAAGCTTCAAGCCACGTACTTATGTCTGGCTCCACCTCGTCGCAGACTCGTCGCTGCAGCGTTCCATTTCACAGAGGCTGCGAGAGGCGAGGCTCTGAATTCCACAAAACAGTGCACAGGGTTGCTGTTGCCACTGCATCTTCTTTTGGTTGGCTATGTGCCTGCTTTGCTCCCACCTCTTGGGCATTTTTGCACGAGCCCAACCCTGGAATCATGAGGCATCATGAGGACTTGTTGAAAGGGAAGGAGACTGACGAAGCTTCGGACGGTGCGGCCAATTCGATAACAAGCAAAATCTGCCGACAGTGTTCTCAAGAGTCAGTCTGTCAGCTCTGAAGAGGCAGTGCCGAAAGGCAAGGAAGATATTCGAGGCTTGGCTCCTGCATGAGGCCACGCCCGGCCTTCCTCAGCTCCGCTGTGCCATACATCCACCAGCACAGATGGGTGCTACTTGTAGTCGAGACTCCGTGCCGAAGACTGGTTAACGTTGCTCTGTGCACTTTGTTGAGCCCCTGGCGCAGTTTCGCGCTGGCGGTCCGGAGCAGCGGGCGCCGTCTTCGTCTGGCCCGGAGGCTCGGAGCCGCTGCTACAATTGACAGCTTGTTTACGGATGAAGGTTTGAAAGAACTGATACTTGTAGCTCAAACCGTCCGTAAATGACTGATCATTCGAGGGGCCCCCTTCCTCTCACGAATATAAATCTCGATGCACCCGGAATCCTCCGGTGGTTTTCTCTTGACTACGGAGTCCACGGCGGCGTGACCGCGCACCTGCATGTCCTTGATCCTCTCGGCTTTCTTCCTGTCGGATCCGACCGACGCTGCCGAAACTGCAAAGCCCAACACCTCGCTAAGCTCTCGGCTCTTGGAGCTCCCTGTGCTTCTCCATGCGGTCAAGGAATGCCTTGCATGTGGGGTGCGGATGCATGGGGTGTGCAGCGATAAATTTTTATTATTCGCATGGGCAATAGTTTGGTTTGAGTGCTTGATTTTTCGATCAGCGTTTTCGGGGGGAAAGGCTGCCATCATTGACAGGATCTGAAACGACTTCCACGGCATGTTTCAGCCAGATCCCTCCACCGCCCCAATGGCATATTTCTATCCCTCCACCACCCCGGCATTGCAGGCGGCTACCCTTGCGGGTACCGTTACTAAGAGAATAGCGAAACCCTCCACCACCCCGGTATCAAAATCCGGGCTGCTGAGTTGAAAGGTCCATCTGATCTGTCATGTATATAAGGAACCGTGGCACATCCCAGCTAATTCACCTCAATCCTTTACAGACACGACTGCACAAAACATCATTATGAGCCTTCTGAAATCACACGAGTTAACTAACTATGCCTTATTTATGCCGTTGCAGCAGCACTCTTGCCAAGAAATTCCTCCCACACTCCCGATCTACACCCGCAACGGGTGGTTCGCATCAGCATGGGGCAGTCAACTTCCCGCGAGCCTTTGGAGGCTGCGGCCTCGGTAGGTTTTAGGAAGCCTCTCCCTGAATGTGGCATCATGCTACCTGTAATGATGCTGACGGTGGTGGTGGCGGCGAGGTGGGGGCGGTGGTGGCGGGGTATGGCGGGGTGGGGGTGGGGGCAGTGGTGGTGCTGGTGTTGGTGGGGTTGGAGGGCAGCGGTGGCGGTGCTGATAGCACTGGTCACTGGTCTATGACGATGCTTCCAATCATTTGCGGCATGCATCATGCGGTTTCCAAGCATTCGCCGCTGGGCTCATGGCGCTGAAGATTTGGGCCTGGGCAGCTTTCGTGTGCTAGTATTTGATAGAGCGTGCAAGCCTCGAAGTCACCTGGCCGGACCGGACTGAGACAGTCCAGGCCAGCTCTGCACTAGTGTGCGCCACTAGTAGTTTCTCTGGGGCAGAGAAATCCAAGCTGTGGCCTAAAATGTCGTAACCCTCGCAGCAGTCAACTGCCAAGGTGTGCTCATGTCTGCCGCTGGGCTGGTCGCCCATCATGGAACGGAATGGTCATGGCACCATTCCTGCAGCCGATCATGCGCTGCTGGTCACTGGTCTGCGCAGGAGTTAGGCCGCTAGGCGAAGGATCAAAAGCAATTACCCTTGAAAGTTGCGGTGCCTTTGCAGCTCCTTCTTCTGATCCTTGTCCCCCCTGAACAGCAGGTCGCCGAGTCCGACCGTGCCCACCCCCCATGCGAGGGCTTCGTCAAATCTAAGTGCCAAGCTTCGCTTTGCGTGCAGAATCCGGCCTGCACACTGTCCGTTTCCCTCTCTCCTGGCCTTCCCATACGTACTTGCGTACTTTCGTCTCCCCCGTTCTGATAGAATCACGGCCAAGAAGCGTTGTGGGTCGCCCTGCAGGCGGTGTAGTGGACCGGAGGCGAGCACGAGACCTGCACTGAAACATGAAAGATACCCGACACTGGCACACTGGCATCGAAGCACGGCAACTTCGCAATTGCTGAGCCGCAGGCTCACGAGGTTGTGGCCTGGGCAG